CCCCCCCCCCCCCCCCCCCCTACTGAACCTCCCCTAGATCCACCCCAATCATTCCCATCCAGGTTTTTTGGTGTTCTGTAAGCACCACATTGTCAACTCTGCGAAAAAGCATGGTGTAGATTCAAACCCATGACTATCAGAGACCATCTTGCTACAAGTGTCTCTGACATCACTCTTATGTGGTGAATCACATTCACCAGCCAAAAATACAAATAATTTTTAATATTGATTATATTTGATAATTAAAAATATTTTGCCTAATAACCAAAAATATGACTGCCTGTATATAGAAAATGAATTTGCCCAGCCTCTTGATTACTCCACAAAAACATCACTTTTAATTAGTGGCCTGTGCATATTTGGAACTATGGATCTTATTACTTTGTGCACGCCTGCTTCACACAAAGTCAACATGATCTGCTGTGTGCATGTGGTCCACTAGCTGGATAAGTTCAAGCTAAGTTGTACAATTCTAGTAAGATGTCATCATGTACCGATAAGTAAAACTTACTCTATAAAATACTTGACATTATCTTCAGTGAAAGCAATTTCCCAGTTGGATGGAAGTGGTCCCAGATTGTCTTCTGATCTTGATCTTCCTCCATTTCTCATTGTGTCACTCTTGCCTGGTACATATATCATGTTATCAGGCGGCAGGGGTTCCCTTGGAGGTTTTGGAGTACCATAGTGATTCCCTCCATAAATTCCGCTCTCAAGGAGATTGCCGCTTCTTTCTAATTTTATGAACTCCTCCAGAGAAAGGAAGACATAGTCTACCCCTGGTATTTCACCATTTCTTGGTGAGCGTGTTGTGCCTGTGGGGCAATATGTAATAATATCATCAATTCAAATCTATTAATATCTACCTTTTTAGACAACTTTTTATATGCAGCTACTATGGCATATGCATGCTCATACACTGTACATGTACAGTACGTACTACTTGAGTCACGTAAAAATCTCATACATCCTTTGTTGTGTAACATCATATGTATGAGCAGGGTTGTAGCTAAGAAAATAGTCTCTTGGATAAGATTTTCACTGAGCCGGTCATCATTTTTTGCGAGAGACCTGGACCAAAATTTTCCTCCCCAATCTTTCACAAAGTCTTGAATGCGGGGCTACCAAGCTTCGTGTTTACAAGATGGTGGGGACATGTTGGACACGGAAAGAGAATACACTACGCATGTGCTCAAAACAAGATTTTATTTCAATTACTTTACTTGTTATAGTGCCACCGATACTCAAGGTAGTCAGAAGTTCTAGGTTTGACCTTGACAAAACAATCAGTACAGTAAGCTTTTTGCACATGCGGTCAAATTGTACCCTTTAGGTAGGTCTTTTTACCTTCAGTGTCTGTTGCATGAAGAAACTCAAAGTGTTTTTATTCCCCCTTGGATGGGACACTAGCCCATCACAATGTTATTCCCACCATATTAAATTTGGCAGCACCCATTTCTACAGCCTGGGGAGAGAGAAATACTATGAGAGTTAACTGTCTTGCCCAAGAACACAGCAACCTTGCTGAGGGCTCAAACCCGTTCCGCTCAAACTGGAGCCCAAACATTAACTATAAAGCTACCCTGGAGGTACCTGTCCAGTGTGTGTTTTAAACCTCTATTTCTGTCATGATAATATTCACAATCTTTTTCAATTTTTCAATTTTTTGCAAGTTCAAAAGACGGATGGTTAGCCATCCAATCTGCCCCCTGGCCCCTTAATCCAGCCCGGGGAGGATATGTGAAAGTGAAGGCAAAGCATGCAACACTTTGCACAATTTAGGCTTTTTCTACTAATTACGTAATCAGTCACTTATCATTAAAGGTAGACTTCTCTATGGAGTTGCTAATGGCATATATGTAATTTGTTCTTGACATGCCTAAAATGCATAAAATAAATAAAATATAATAAATAGGAACTTCCAGTGGCACATCCCCACACTGATGCTCTTCTACTGGAGGAAAACCGGAGAACCTGGAAAAAACCCTCGGAGCAAGGACAAGAAGCACCAACAAAATCAACCCACATATGATGCTGGCTCCAGGATTTGAACCGAGCCTTGCGCATTGGTGGGAGGCGAGCACATTAATGGTGGAAAGCAAGCACTAGCATAACAGCAATGGCTACAACACAATTTAGCAACAGAGAAACTTAGCTACTCACAAGGTACTGTCCTGTTGTAGAGGTTTTCTCGTATAGTTTGCTGTAATTCACTGTCAATGGAGGTCTTGTCAAATTTCGTGGAGAGATAATTCTGCAAGTCCCTTGTGATTTGGTCTCCTGCCAAAAAAAATTACTGTGTGTAAATTTATGGTTAGCTTCCCTGAATGCTGATGCAACTTAGATGAACAAAATTTAAACTCATCAACAATCAATGAGCTTGGGGAATGGAGCCTGAAAGGATGGTGGAGCCCAAGAGTAAACTAGTGTATGTGTAGGGGTATCCATGACAACCGTGTGAGCGGCAACCACCAGGCACTGTCACACTGAAAAAAACAGTGGAAACACAGGATACTTACCACATACTTACCATCAACACAAAGGGGGATGGGTGGGCTGGAAGAAAAGCTAAACGAGAACTGTCCAGCAGTGAAAGTCACGTTGAATAATTTGACATCCGAAGCTGAGATGAAAAATACAGGCACCCCTGCAAAATCCCCCATCCATCCGATACTCACTCCGGGGGAGACTGCTGGCCAACAATCTTGTTTCGTGTTTAACTTAGCCTAAATTACATGTACATTTAGCTACATATAAGAGTTTGCTTTGGAGAGTATTGTATGTTGTTGATGTCCTGATTCTTGAATTATTTGCACAAGGAAAATTGAAAGTGATAGGAAGGAAACCTGACATTGATAGCCTTAATCACTGTTTATAAAAATTCACACTTTTGGCAGTGTAGTCTTGCAAGCGAAAATAAATATCTTACTCACTAATGTCAATGCCATTTGTAGCATTGTTTATGCTCTAAAAGTTAAACAAATCTAGAGAGATTGGATCATTCACATGCACTTTCCAAAGAATTAAATTACTGGTTGTATGTTGACTTAAGTAAGTGGAAAAACAGATTAACGTGTCCTCGCCTGGTCATCAATGTTTAGAAAGATGCACTATACATTATACAGCCAGCTTATGATCAAAAACAACAAATTTTAACAATGGTAGAATAAATGGTTTCAATAGTTCCCGCTACAATCACAGTTTAATTCATCTTGAAATTAAAATAATATAAAATGCTTTCTGCTTTGTAATCTAATAGTAGAAGTGTCATTTGGGCTAGTTGATACCCAAATGTACATGTTACAAGCTTTATGTGAGCTTACATTTACACAATAATATCTTACTAAGTAAGGAAATAATGATTTTTAAAGAAATAATACTGATATTCAAGACCATTCAACAACAATGAGATGTCTACAATATCATAATATAAGTTTGGATCACAACCTTTGCCATATTTTTAATGTTTTCCTTTCTTACTAGCAACTTATGTAGCAAAAGTTCAACTCCCTTGAAAGAAGTTAGTGAAACTTCCCATAGTTAAACTATTCTTTGTTGCAGCACATTGTCAAACCTGGATTGGAAGACTGAGTTCAATGACCTTCATTATATTAGCGACACCTCAGACCGAAATATTATATGCAATCATCACTTTTTTTACAAGACCTTGATCAAACAAAGCATAAGATTTCAATCTATCAAATCACAAGTAATGATTTTAACACCATAAATAATGATACACGGGTTGAATTTAACTGTTTAAATTCAGATAAAATCAATTCATAGCATTCCTTCGACGTGAGTGCGTGATGCCATCGGAAAGATATTTCATCCTACATTCCAATTAAACTTTATTAGACATGGACTGTGGGATTCCGTTAAACTAACGGTATCAACGATTCATTCAGTGTCTCGTGTTACAAGAATCCACCAGTTAAGATTGATATATGCTGTGGTTAACACTTATGGTGGTTGTAAACTAAGTAAAAGATATTTTAAAGAGATGTATCTTTGCATGTTTGCGCAAACATTTTATTAATCCCTACCTTGTTTAACAGTGTGTAGCGTTACAGCTTCATTCGAACTCTTGATCAAAGGCAAAACATCGAATTGAGTATATCCAGCAACTTGCTTTCCATTTATTTCCAAGACGATGTCTCCCTGATGGATCCTTCCCCGTTTGTACCTCAGTCTATCTTGTCTGACTTCCCCGATGCAGATAAATTCGCCATTTTCTGCACCACCAACGATGTGTAAGTTAAAGTTCCCAGTGGAACCTCGAAGAAGGACGCATTCGTGAACGTTTTGCGACCAATGCCTTCCTTTACGAGGTAAGGAATTTCGCAAAGGATGAAGATTCGACATTCCCGGACAATCAAGAAGCTTGATTTAAAGGATAAAACATCTCAATTTCTACCAACCATCGTTGAACTGAATTATAAACAGTGACTCAAAGACGCTCGTCAACTGCGCATGCTCAATTCTCGTAGTATGCAAATTTTGTGTAGACATTTTTATCATTCTGGCTAAGTTACCAACCATGTTTCCTGTGCATATAATTAGAAAAATGAGGAAAAAAGGACGAAACCAGAATATTTTATTTATGGTTCGAAACCATAAAATAAATTGGAAAACTGCATTTAGCTCAGGAGCAATTACTGCTTCATATACTCCGTGGTGTAATGTACTTCGCAGTACAGGAAGATGAATTGGGTCGGAGGAGCACGGTAAGTTTTATTTTTAGGCAGCGAGAAACCTCGAAATATTTAGCGTTATATTGTATAACGGACTGTAGCTTACACATCTAAGCCTAAAATGAACGATGTAGTGACTTTTGGTTCGCGAAAAAGGCGCGAAATCCGTGTGAAATAACTCAACTTTGCTTTGTTGTTAGCGCGAGCACTCGTTTATCTGAGCGTGAGACAGTTGTCTGGAACGTGTGAAAAATCAATGCAGCACTCACAATAGCTTCTTTGTGGAAATTGCTTAATTGCTAAGTGGCAGTTGCGAACTGTACCTATTGGTCTATCGCTATTAAATCCTGCAGGGGGTCTGTGGGTTAATTAAGCCTAAGTTTGGTGTTTGATAAAGAATGGTCACTCTTTACAAGCTTACTTTTTGCTGGGCGACATTGGGTACAGGTTCATTAACTTTTAATAGGCGAGCATTGTTTTTTTTAAGTAAGTGGTATCAATAATTATTTTCCTAGTATATTTTGGATTGACCCCTGCTAGTCAGGCCGTCACTACCAGTAATGCCATAGGAACATGCGATAAATACATTTTCAAGGAGCTTCTTGTTGAAACAACAACTAGTGTTTTTTAGGGTTTTCCCTATTTTCGTTCCTTGTGTTCACATAAACACAAATACTTTGTTTGCAGAAAGAAAATTACCCTACAACCTGCTTCTGTCAAATCAAGCTAAAGTATTCAACCATCCTAATATTTATGTGTAGAGTTTTTCATCTTTGGTTAACCTTGAAAGTATATTAATGGTTGTCATGGTCACACAGGGTTGTTAACCCTGGAACCTGTTGCACAGGAACCCCACTTTTGGTTTCATAAGTCCAAGAGTTGAGCAACCTTGTTCTGAGGGCTTTTCCCAGGAAAAAGCCCTCGGCTAGGAATGAGGTTGAGAGTGACTGTCATAAACCCATTTTGGACCCTGCTTGACCTATGGAAACTATATCACTGTTGTCTTTGTAACATAGCAGAAATTGACTTTCAGAAACTCCAAAATTTCTGGGTGGTATTAAAGTGCTAATGAACTCATACATATTCTCTGTAAAATATTGCCGAGTTTTTAAACCTTCGTCGCACAAAAAGTATTCAATACATCAGGCTCAACCTCCTTGGAACAGTTAATTGTGCTATGTAGTGACCTTTTATTATTCAGAACTGATCTTTCAGTTGTTCTGTCATTTGAACAGAAACTGAATTGCCTAATTATGCTGATGGGGCAAATACTGTACCAACAAAGATACCCCTTTGTCTTCTCTGTCAAGTAAATGAAGTAATTCATGTAAGCATAATTCCTATGAACTATAACACTCTTCCAGAGTAAGTTTCCAACTTGCATAAACTTTGTTTATCAACTTCCTCAATTATCAAGCAAGTCATTAAAGTTGTAAATGTTTTTTAGCAAATGACTCTCTTTTACCAATATTCATTTCATTTCATTGTTAATTTTAGGAATCGCCTTAAAGTTAAGCATGAGAACAAATTGCAAAAGGTAAGTCCCATTTAAACTAAAATAAATTTAATATACAGTTAAGGGTACCATATCTGTTTTTCAATCTACTATATTTTTAGTGATAATTTTCTTATTGTCTGCCTTACGAAGCTCTCAATATATTGAAACCAGGAATTTTTTGAAAGAAAGCGTCAGCTAAAAGGCAATTCAAGGACATCTGCACCAAAACGGTTTGATAAAACAACAGGAAGAGGAAGTCAGGACCTTTTTTCCTTGGAAGTCATTATGTCAGCACACAGGAAGGACATAAAGCGCAGAAAAGGTATTTAATAAATGAATTGTTTTTAACAGAACAAGCGAGAAGCTTCACAACTCAAGGGATAATAGATTGGACAATAATTAGGTCATTCATCAATGTTTAAAAGTTGATAATATTAATTGAGTCACTTGTAAAAATGACCTCAGTTTCTATATATCCATCCCCTTCTGCACAGAAGTCTTTTTGGTTTGAATTAATCCAGGGCTTCCCCACCCCTCCAGAGTCCTTGGGGTGGGTATGGGTATTTTCTGGTTATTACACATTGTTCCCAACTTACAACATAGGATCAATTGTATTACACCCTCAGACTGATGCCAAATTATCTTTATAAAAGAATAAATTAAGACAGACTCTGCTGATCAAAGCGTTTCTAAATACAGTCGAATAACTCCCATAAGTGACCACTTAAAATGTCAAGCCGAAATGGTCACTTACGAGAGTTGGTCACTTATGAGAACTTAGGTCATATTGGGTCAAAACTTTGCCTCATCAGCATATGATATTGTAACTGCAGGAAAGGCAATTTTGAGAAAAAATCTGGTACTTCCCATCAAGAAATTTCTCTCTCTTGTACTACTCAGGAATGTGATAATGTTACAACACCTTATTATTAAATCTCTGCTTTATTATCTGTGAAATGGTCACATACGAGAGGTTAAAGACAGTAGAAAATTTCAAACTTTTACTCCTAAAAGTGGTTGCAGTCGCTTACAAGAGGTTGGTTGCTTACAACAGGTTCCAAATAAAATTATAGTGATTTGACTTGGAAACTTTTAGTATTTTGAAAAACTGGTTGTCAAGGAGAGGTGTTCACAACCAGAGGTTCAACTATATTAAATGATTGTTATTTGCTTATTTATGTTCTTTTTCACTCAGGTGACAGAATTCATACTTCTCGGAGCAGTGCAGGTAATGTCAACTGCAGGAATTCTGAAACCCTCTGTCAAGAAGGTTTCCCTACTAAACAGCTGCATCACATCTTACCGGAACTGTCCCCAGTCAGACAGCAGTTACCAGCTACAAGTTTAGAAGAGGTAGGTGGGTAGGTAAGTAGGTTGGTACAGTAGGTAGTTTGGTGTCTGTGGGTCAGTAGGTTATAAGTGACTAAGATAGGTAGGTCAATCAGTTAGTAGATAGGTAGGTAGGCGACCAGCATGAGCTTGTATTCCATTGAAGGTCACCCTAGGCCTGCTAGCCATCATGCATCCCGCCATCTCCTCCCCTCCTCTAAAAGGAATATCTGCATAGTAGGCTTATGTCACCCCTGTACATAGCATTTTATTTAGTTTGTCCTAATAAGCAATTATACTTATTAGGCCATTATGATCCATTGTACACCTGCATGGAGAGAGGCAATGTGAAAATTAAGATGATTTCCGCAGAACATTCGCACAATAATAGCAAAAATTAAGTTACCAAAAAAACCTCATGGCATGGTAATATTTTGAATACAGCTAAGAAGAACTTATCGAGACTTTAGCTCTCAAGCTGACCCCACAAGAAAAAATTGAACTTGAAGTTATGCATATTTCACTAAAAACAGACGTTTCATTTCACGTTAGTTAAAAACGCAATAACACACGCTTTAAGCATTCTTATGAGGTTTGACTTTAACTTTCTCAAGAATGTTTGAGAATTTAATCGCGAGGTCACTAGTGTAGAGAAATGAACTAAACTGAGTAGTTTTAGATAGTATTCCAAAAGTTATCGTGCTATGAGTAGATTTTTAGTAAATAATTTTTGTACTTATTGCTCAAACTTTGAGCAGAATCCGCCTTAAGTGCCTTGGCCAAAAACACAATGTAGTAACCCTAGACAGGGCTTCAATCCCTCAGCAGCTTTAGTGACTAATTTACGCCATCAAACCTCTCCAGGTATTTCTTTAAGGTATAAATCTTACTATGTCGACTGTCTTTTCTTTATCCATGTGCACATAGGGTAGACATGGTGATTGTTGTTCAGATCAGGTTGAAAGGGAATGCATCTTCACCAGTATACCTTCAAGAAGACAAACTGATGATCAGGGAACCATGTCTGGTAGACAGGCTATGGCTAAGATTGAGGCAGAAGAACTTGGTTCATGGGAAACTACATTTGAGCTTGGCACTGTAGCATTCCCAACAAATTGAAAAATAATTACCTGTGCCTATCATGTTAGTTTTCCAGTGCATGGTGATGGGTAGATATAACTTTTGTCTTTTGCACGTGTTGCATACCTATAAAAAGCCCATTTCTCTCTTTTTTTTTAATCAATATTACAAATTTTATTTATTGTAATTGGACATCTTCATTTTTCATGCTTTGCAGAGCTACTGGAAGAGGATTTTTCTTAAGCAAACTTTCCCTGTCAAGCTGACTTTAAGTTGTGTCGAAAAGTTGAAAAAATAGGCATCGACATATTTAATTTTGATGACAGTTTAATCAATCAGTTAATTTTAAAATAAATTCAGAATTTAAACATTTTGCATTTAAAAGTCATGCAAAATCCAGGGAAAATGTTGTATACTGAAAGTGGCTCTGGTTTAATTATGTAACTTAATACTTGTCTAATATAATGCCAATGATAATTTTACTTGATATCACTGTACATAAATATGCAACATCATTATCAACACTAAAGTTTATTTATTGAAAGTAACAATTGAAAATTGCATAAATTATCTCATATGTATTTTTGTAAACAAAGCAGAGAGAAATAAATTTGGTCTACAGAGTAACAAAATGGATGGATTCTCACTGATTTTATTCTGCCTAAATACTGCATCTCTGTGTGAAGTGACAACTCCTTTGTTTCAGGATGAGAGCACATTTTTGCCAGGAATAAAACAGTTACTGGGAACTGAGAGACTGGAAAACCTTTTTTGGGGGAAATTAAAAATAAATGTCTTTAGCACATTAAAGAATTGCAATAATTTTCCAAAAGTGGGAGTGTGTTAAGTTTGAACATGTTGGGAAGCCCTTCAGTGGATAGTACATTATACTGCTGAAACACAATGTATTGGACTTGTCCACTTACATATACCTCTCATTAAAGGTGAATCTTTCTGTTCATTTAAATCTCAGCTCTGGATACTTCCCTAGATTTTCTTACAAAAGCTACCACTTTTTTGTCCATTTCCAATAATATTTTGCAAAAATACCGGTATATATGACGCAATGTTTTGAAAGTTTTCCTGCTTTCGCCTAGTCTTGCGATATTGAGATCTCTGCATCCCTACTCTTTTTCCCACTTCCCATATACATACCCCTGTGCTTCCGATGAAAACATTTCAGTTTGCCAAAGTTTATATCCTGGGGTGGGGTAGTCTGAGAGCAGGCTCTCATTGTTGGTGACATGAGCAAAGCTGTCAGTGAGCGAAGGGAGCCGCTGAGAATATTCTCATCCCAAGCCCCTCACCACCTTGCTTTGCTTGCCGACTCACCTCTCGCGACTTTGCTCCTGCTGCAACCCACGAGAGCCCACTTGAAGGCTAAGGGTGGGGGTACTCCCTGCACTGGAAGGCTCTTTCAGAAAGGGGTACCTCTTTCAGGCTTTAGGTATGTAGAAGGGTAGGAATTTCACAAGTTCAGGTGTATGAAAGGGTAGGGAAATCTGTCATTTAGTTATTTAAAAGGGCCTTTAGTTAAAATATTTCAAACAGACACATCTTATGGCTGCATCACCACATGAAAATGACAGTTTCCTTTTTGCCAATTTGTTCATAAAATGGGCTGGTTATGAAAGAATGAGAAAGGGATACTGCTTTTCAGTAAAAGGTATACGAAAGCACGAAGGGGTACCTTTTCTGTCAAAATGGGTATACAAAAGGGTAAGGGGTTGGACTTTAAGGCGGGGTCTCCCCGCATACACCCCCTTCGTTCCAGGTTTATATCAAAGATGTAATAAGGTGAAACTTTGTTTCAGTTAATAGGCAAGCACAAAATTCTTTGAGTTCACTGGGGTTTGAGTCATAATGATTAAAACTCCTCTGTATAATTTGCATTTTTAATCCGGTTGCAAGAAGACAATGAAGCATGTAAAAATATCAAGCCCCTTTAGAATACAATAAATTTTCCAGTACAATTAAAATAGAAAGTCAGAATACTATATATTAGGTCTAAAAATAGTCACATTAAGTGTACTTTTTTTAAAATGTTGAATCTAAAATAGATGTATATGTGCAAAGGTAGAAAATTGAAAGTTTCTAACCTTGACTAATTCATATATTTATAAAATATGGTTTTCTAGACCTTATTCTCTCAACTATTTTCCAATATAATCAAGTTCAAGTCATGGCGATATTTACCAATGTTGTTTAGATCTAAAAACTCATTTTTATACAATTGCTGCAGACCTCTTTGTTCCTGAGTCCCCTGAGAGAAGTTCATGCCTGTTCTAGAGTAGAGGAACACCAAGCTAAGTTTAACCCAAATGGGGGCTCAGCAATTGTATGTTAACTTAAGTAAAAAAACTGGTTGTTGTGTTTCTGGGTTGAAAACCCTCCTTTCATATTACATTAGGTTACTAAGTCTGTTGGTAAAAATACTCCAACTAACAATATACTTTGCATTCTACCTGAGTGTATTTAAAAATAATTTTGACTTTTGGAATTTTTTAAAATCAACCCCAGGGCTACAGTTTTCTTTCAAAACAGTCATCACTGTAACATGGACACGGGGCTCAAAAAAGGTGCTGTCCCATCATCCAGAACAAGTAGGTTTCCACTCGGGGCAGGTAACTTTTCATTCTCACTTGCCCAGTGGGCAAGAGATAAGGCAAGATGTCTGCCAACTAAATCATTAAAAGAGCAAACTAGGACTTGTCCTATGTAAGCAAAATTTGACAGCTGCTTGTCCCAAGGGGCAAGCTGGAATTAAAGTTTATTTTTTTCGAGCCCTGGGACATCTCCACAAGTCAGACACAGCTTGACATAGCTTGAACTTGCCTACAAGAAGGCTCTGATGAGCTGTGGCATGAGCAGCAAAGCCAGGCACCTCACCGACTTGATCTCTCCTAGCATTGCTGTTTGTGCCGCACCCCATGAGAGCTTGCTCATGGGCTAAACTTGTTCTGACTTAATTTCAATTGTTTTCTCATTACAAGTGGATGGCTAGAATATTATTGGTCAGGACTGCAAATGGCCAGTTTAAAGGGCTTCAAGAAATGGCAGTGAAATCAAAAGGGCCAGTAAGTTTGTAAATCTACAACCCACATTGATCATAGAGGACTTCAGATTTGAATACGAGATCGAGTGCAATTCTAGTTTGCGGGCTATTTGTAGGCTCCACATTATCATGTCACACACCCATCTCATCACAAAAGCTACCCTCTCTACCTAAAGCCAACATGAAGAGCGAGGGCTCGGAAAACACCACTGGATTGAAATTCAAAAATTATACTCATATGAGATCAATCTTGTATTCAAAGTCCAATCTAAAGGTCCCCAATGTTCAGGTATAAGACCATGTACTGAAAATTATTAATAGTGAGTATATTTTTTAAAAATAAGAAAAAACATTTTTGATAATTTTTAATCACACAGACACCCATTGAAAGAGAAAAGCTTGAAGCCATTAGTAAGTCTCAAAGATAAAATTACACATCACACATACAATGTAGTTATACCACCAATATTACATAATTTGATATTAAACAAGGTGCCACCCTGAATAAATGCATTATGCATGCAATGATAAATAATATTTTCATTGATAATTTATTAAAGCCCCATCCTAAAAGATCAAGAAGAGTTTTTAAAGGTTAAAACAGGGCTAAAATTTATGCTTCTGAGACAAAATATTTTCTTTGTTTTTAATTAAAATGTAATTTTGACCCACATAGTATTTATAATCTCTTTAAAATTCAATAATTGATGTGCAGTTCATGATTTGAAAATTAGCTACCAATAGTATTTTTAAAACCTTTCATTGAAACCTGAAGGAAGTTCAAAGTGACATTATTAGTCTACATTCTTTGTAAAATACTTATAAATTTACCAATTAAAAACAATACATTGTAAAACACTCACACTGCACTATCTTATTTAATTAAAACCTTAGGTAGCTATTATATGGACAGCACATACGGTGTAAGCAGACAATGTTTTAAAAACGGCTATATGATTCCTAAAACCATGGCTATAATAAGAAATGTTGCTGAATGTATTAATTGGTATTATATCAAGCAACTACATATTAACCTTTGAAAACATCGACAGCCCCCTTCATTAATGATGTGCACTTAGACAATGCAATGCTTTCAAAATATTGTATTCTCTAGTAAGCAAGGGAAACAACACTTGACATACAACTGAAAATTATATTGCATCTCAAATCAAGGAACAAAACAATGTCACCTTTTAGGTGTTTGCCATTCCATTCTATACCCTGGTAACTGGTTTTGATCTGCTGGATTTGCTATTCTTTCTTGTGTAGGCACGCAGCCTTTCTCTTGCAATCTCAAACTCCTCCAGTCTTTGTGTGAGATCAATTTTCTGATGAATGGCTTGTTTGAGAAGTTGATTAAGGGTCTTCTTCTCTTCTTCCGATGCAGCAAACTTACGCTGCAACTCATCAACTTGCACTAAATACTCTTCACACCTCGCTGCGTACATACCACGCAGTGAAGCAAACGTTGACACCTCAGCCTTCAAAGTCTTCAAGCTTCTCTTCAGCTGTGCTACAGTCTCCGACTGCACTGCTTTGTCATTCTCGTAACGACTTTTAAGATTTGTCAGGGCAACTTCATAGGTGGACTTGTTGGCTTTAAGAACAGTTCGGAGGGTGGTGATCTGCTCCCGCTTTGTGGTCAGGAGACTTTGCAGCTTTACAATTTGTTGTTTCTGCATTTCACCATCCTCTCCACCACTAGTCTCCTCATCGCTAACAACAACTCTATACTCCAGAGCACGCTGTCTTGAAATTTCCACTGTCTTCTCAACAGCTTGTTTCAAGAACTTCACTTGATCGCGTACTGAACTTATCAGCCTGTAGCAGGAATAAGGATCCCCCCTTTCCATTGTCTCATTTGGATTCTCACTACCCATGGGGGACTGTCGAACTTCTGCGGCACTTTCCTTGGTTGCAGAATTTGAGGCATCTGTTTCAGCTTGTGATGCCGTCTTTGATTTCTCCGGCTTCTCTTTCTTGGCAAATGATTTGGCTGGATGATCACCATTAGCTGAGCAAACATGCTTGTAAAGCCTCTGCAGATCCTCACTGACGTACCTTAGCTCATCCTGAGTACAGTTAAGACTTCCTTGAGCATTCCCAGCAAGATCGCTCATGGACTTCACATCTTCCTGTAGGTTTTTGATCAATTCTTCTGATTCAGTTCCTTTATTTTTCATATTTAACAGCTCCTCCTCCAGATCCTTGACTCGTTTTGTCAGGAACGTTGCCTCATCAGCTTTTGTTTGCAAACCAGCCATTTTGGTCCTTAAACTATCAATCTCACTTTTCAAGTCTTTGATCAATGCTTGAGACTTGTTCTCTTTAGTCTGATAACCTTTCAAAAGTCTTCTAATTTCTTCAAGCTCCTTCAACTGGTTGTTCAACCTTACACCAATAGCTTCCCTCTCTTCTATTGCTTCACTGTCACTGTCATCCAGAGTTTCACACAGAATTTTTGCTTCAGTTAAAGTTTGCATAGCATCAAACTCCTCTCTCAACTTCAAAACATCCTTTTCTCTCTTAGCCAGTGCATTTGTGAGTTCATTTTTCTCGCTACTCAGTTGATCAAGTTTGTGTGCCATTTCTTTGACCTCCGAGAGCTGAAGTTCTTTCATTAGATCTTTGACCAGCCCAGGGACAGGCTTGTATTCCTCAATGATGCTTTGAATTATGGGATGCTCAATTGGCTGTTCAGGCTTGGCTTTCTCTGGACTCTCAAGGGGAATAAAACGGCTTTCTTCATGCCAGCTATTAAGTGTAGGTGACTGGCGTTGGCGGCTTTCCTGCAGTTCTTTTTGCAGAAGTGTGTTACGATCTCGCTGTTCTTTCAACGACTCAAGAGCCTCATTGAGTTGCTTTTGGTATTGATCTCTCTTGTCGCAGGCTACCTGTAACTGTAGCTGGACTGCCTCCATTTCATCTGTCAAGCTTTTGTTTTCAACCTTTAAGGATTCAAATTCCACCAGTGATGACCTAAGTGCAGAGTATTGCTTCTGAAGGTTGATATTCTCCTCCTCAAGGTCACTAAATTCTTGCGTATGTTTTGACTCTCGGTATTTAAGCTCCCTGATTTCATCTCTAAGCAGTTTCTTACTCTGTGCAAACTGCTCAATTTCTTTCACATAGTTAGAGACCTGATTGCAGAGTCGTTCATTTTCAATCAGTGCATCCCTTTCAGCTTTCCTAGCTTGTCTCAGGTCACTTTCTAAGTCTGTTATTTTATGAAGATAACTCGCTTCCCTTGATTCACTCTCCTTGACAAGGCTCTCTTCTCGATCATCACCAAAGCGGCTTCGTTTCTCTTGCTCAAGTTTTAACTGTTCATGGACCTTTATTGAAAGGAAAACAAGCAAATATTGAATAACTTGTAACTGATTTATTCAGGAGATATGCACAATTGCCTTTGCTTCTAAAACTATTGCAGCTGAGGCGAACAGGCAACCGCTCTCTTCTCACAAGAGTTGTCTGAGTGCGAGCGCACAGGTAGGTCTAATCGGCAACAAAACAAACAAAACCAAGCTAAAGCAGAACACAAACTGGCTGGGCCCCAGCTCACCCAGTTAATCAGAGACACACTACCTGGATCTTGGTAGAGCAACATTATTAACAACAATATCATCACCACTATCATCATCATTATCATCATCATCATCATCATCATCAAAATAGAGTTTTTGGCAGATAAGGTTCTTGTATTTCACCAATAGTCTGGATTAAATATGTAAATTTTGGCAGCCAAAAGCTCACTAAGATTTCAGGAGGTTCTTGTCAAAATAGCCTAAATCATGCCGTTAAAATTCTACAAGAGGTACTCTGTAAAGGATAAGTATCCAGTACAGAGGGGAGCATACAAGGTGGAGTGTTGTTAATAGGCCTCATCACTCCATTCTACAGATATCAAAGTATAAGTGAGATCAGTATGAGCCCTTAGCATCATCAGAGTTGGGGTGCATTCCTTTGGGGTGAATATTTCAGATCATGATCAATGATTCAAGGTCACTTGTAGAATCACGGTGCACCCAAAGAATCATTGGATCTTTGCCCAAAGTGGATTCATCGGCCTCTTTGATGCACCATGATCAGAGTGATCCTAGATCACTGATCCTGATCAAGATCATGACAAATAGTTCAATCTACAACTCTCCAGCCAACATACATTCACAAGTTGTTGCTAGGCATTATGTAAGTATAGGAAAATATATTTACAGTTGTCACTGAAAGACGTCCTTGGCAAGATACAATATCCGGTAATTTGATCACAAAATAGAAGTTCCATTGATAATAAAGCTCGGAAAAAGTCAGCAAGTAAATGTCTCTCAAGGCTGACATGCTGGTTAGTATTTTAATCATTACACGAAGCTTAAAAATGTCCAACAGCAATATGAGCCACATAATCTTTTAAGCTTTTGGAATATAGGCTGCAAAAATTTCCTCTGTCCACGTCACGAAAACAGTTTTGTCAATGAACTTTCTGCCAACAGCCACTGCATAAATTTGGCCTGCTGTAGTTGTAATTTCAAAGAGTTATTTAATTATCTTCAAACTGGAATCTTGTATTTTCAACTATCAGTTTTTCCCACCACCGAGAAAGGATTTTTCCAAACCACGCTTGATCCGACGCGTATAAGCTTATATTTACACTTCTTAGTTGTAAATAATTAAAGGGAAGAATCAAATCTTCTTTGGCGACTAATCGCGGTCCTAAACTCAGATACGAATCAACCCACAGAAATTAAGCAGTATCTTCTTAAAAAGAATTCAAAAAGGATCTAATATTAAGAGTTAAATACCTCTCTGAGACATTCCAATTCTTGCTTGTTCGCTTCCAAAGCGCTCTCCAGTTCGTCGTATTGTTCCTGTAATCTCTGTTTTTCTTCCAACACAGCAAGCCCATATTCAGCCGCTTGAACTTTTTCTAAACAGGCCTGCTGTAGCTCATTACTTAACCGTTCAACTTCGCTTTTCAGTTGCTCGATCGTGCTCATTGTAACTTCAATTTGAACGCTGTAACCCAAACCACTTGATCTCCATGTTGAATTTTTGAATTGTTTTGCGCTGAAATGAATCAAATGCGGCACCAGGCCCTCGCGGTCTCTTTACCACGCACAGCCTTCTGGGATGGAAGCCGCCATGTTGATGTGTCATGTGACGAGAGTAAGGAAAGTAAAAAGACTCTGCGAAGGGTTGTGTTACTGCCCGCTGAATTTGCGAAAATGTTGGCGTTTTTTCGTAGTATACTTGACTGGATAAAGAGTCTCTTCTGGAAGGAGGAGATGGAGCTTACATTGGTAGGCTTACAGTACTCTGGGAAGACGACCTTTGTCAATGTTATAGCGGTAAGTGTGATGAATGAGAGCTTTTTATGGTCAATGCCAACCTACTTCGCCACCATTTGCTTATTATATCTTTATTTGGTTAGTTTTTAGGAATCAGTTTTTACATTGTAGCGTTTGAAAACAACTCATCTTCATCTTTCGCCCCGTATGTGTACATAAATTAAGGAGTAAGATGCGTGACTTGAAGCTTTGTCACTTAGAACTTAGAAATCATATTGAACACTCGTGAGGACTTTGACATTTAAACAATAACTTTTTGATATTAGAGCGGTTTTCATTTGAGGGTCGAAAGTGATTAGACAATTACTTTGGTTTTGGTTTTGGGTTTGGTTTTACTACGGTATGAGATTGGCTGAGTAGTCTAATTGGTATGTAATTGGTTTGGTTTTGGTTTTACGACACTCAGTTGAAAACCGCTCTATCCGAACAATCATTATCACTCGTTTACTTTTTGGAAGAGTAACGTGAAAAGTGCGATGGCTCATCAATCAGTTAGAAAACGATTTGGTTACTTAATTTCTTTGAGTTTTATCAATATTTGGAATGTTTCCATGGTATAATGACTGGCGTACACTGCCATTCTGAGCAGGTACTGTAATTTAATACTATTTAAAATGCTCAGTTTGGAAATAAATCTCAGCGTCGTCTGTCACATATACTGGAAGTTTTGATTTTAGAGCACGTTCCTTTAGGATGATTCAGATCAGAAACAATGATCAAAGATCATTCAGATCATGGTGCATCAAAGGAAAGTGATGAATCCTTTCCTACAGTAGAATCATCTGTTCCTTGATACACCATGATCTGACTGATCTTGGATCACAATCCTGATTCAGATCATCCCAAAGGAATGCATGTTCAGACCATTTGGCTTGTTCATGACCACTGGCTAAGTGAAAAAAGGCCAGCTGTCCAAACTCCTCCAAAGAACAAGACACTTGTGTTACATAAAATATTGCATTCATACTGCCTTGTTTACTTTGTTACCATGTTCTGCCTTGTTTTGTCAAGTCACGTGATATATAAGGCAGGGGTTTCATTAACTTTTTCAGCAAGAAGGCAACTGTTTTTCGCCAATGGGCAAAACTTTTAGAACTGAACTTCTTTGTAAAAAAAAAAAAACTTTCCACTTGATGGATGGTCAAACCAGGTGGGCAAAATTGTTCTCACAACCGGTCAATTTGCCCAGTGCCCGGCCCTTAATGAAATCCCTGATAAGGTACAGGAATTCTTTTGTTGTTTGTAAACATTTTTTTCTGAAATCATTGGAATCAAGTAGTTGCATCAAACAAGCACAACTAGTAAGAGTGATTATGTTTTGATTTTTGCACTGATGTTTTTGCTCCAATGTACAGGGCTTCTGATATTTTACGAGTTCCCGGAGCCGCGAATTTCAAGTAAATCCACAAAATCCCACGAAATTTACAAAAACACTCAAAATACTGCAAAATTCACTGGAAATCATACCAAATATATGTTGTTACAACATATTTGAAACCTATCTTGGCTGTTGGAGCTGTTTACTTGCTGTAAACTTGCAAATTTATCGTGGAACTTCGTCACTTCAACAAGTAAACAATATCCCAAAACTACCAGGCATTCTTAGATTAATGTTGCGTAAAACTGGGCACTCACTGTGGCTACAATGTAAAAAGCTTTGCCATTGGTGCCTTTCTTCAGTGCATTGTTGCTAAAAAAAAACAGGTGATGGTCTCTGTTAAAAAGAACCTCGTGGTCAAACAAATACAAACATGTAAGATAGGTGAAACCAGTTGCTCAAATTTTCCTGCAAAATCGCCGGTTTTTCAAAGGCAACACTTATAAGAAGTCGGTGTTTCTACTGCTATTGTTATTGCATAGGCTAACACTCAATCGTTTTTGGAAAAAAAAATGGCAAAATTGCCGTCAGATTTTTAGCTAAAAACGTTCGGCAAAGCAGTGCAAAACCAATCGCTTTCCAGCAAAATTGGCCATTTTTTGCTGATAATTTTTTAGTGAAATTTGCCCCAAAATTTCCTGGAATTTCCCACAAAATCAGCCATTTTTTCACAAATTTGTCTCTAAAAATCCCACGAAATTTGACTTTTTTCGGCGACCTACATGTATGAGAAGCCCTGCATGTATAGTGATTAGTTAGGAGGTGTTGTTTGAGTAAACATGACACTAAGACTGTTCCAAAGTTTCTCTTTTTTGGGTGGCAAGGGGTAAAATCTGACTGTCTGTAATGTGCTAGCAGCATAGATTAGCCACACAGATCATGTTGTTTCATGTGCAGAAAACCCCTTTTACCTGCTGTTTTGACAAACAGACAACTTTACAGGTGTTGTCTTGAATCTCGGCAAGTCCTGTTAATTGTTGTTCAGTTGTTTTCTTTATAATATTATTTTATTGTAAATATTTATTGACTGTTTAGTTGACGTAGATTTTTTTTCTTCTTTACAGTCTGGTCAGTTTAGTGAAGACATGATACCAACAGTTGGATTTAACATGAGAAAAGTTACCAAGGGTAATGTTACGATTAAGGTAAGTTTGGAAGTTTTTTTTTTTTTTTTTTTTTTTTTCAGTTTTGAAACATGCCATTTCAAGGGCCAACATGGCTGTAAAGAGAATTTTTACCACCGCTGTGCTCCCTTATTGTAACAGTTATGATGGTTTTGACATCCAGAGAGGTTGTTTGATGTCTTGTTATGTTTGTTAGGTTTGGGATATTGGAGGCCAGCCTCGATTTAGAAGCATGTGGGAAAGATACTGTAGAGGTGTGAACTGCATTGTGTAAGTATTGGTTAAATCAAACTCATATGTTCATGTCTCAAGCTAACAAACAAATAACAGCATATTTGGCACCTATTAAGAGCTAAGTGGCAGACTATAGCTGTAATATTTCTTTTATTTGTGTTGATCATACAAAAATTAGCTCAGAGTGTAAATTAAGTTTGCTCTTTCTAGATACATGGTGGATGCTGCAGATCATGAAAAACTAGAAGCATCAAGAAATGAACTTCATGGACTCTTAGAGAAACCCCAATTAGCAGGGATTCCAGTAAGTAGCAACCAATGCATTAACTTTGCCAGGAAACAAGTCGCTCAAGTTTTTTATGCACTCAAATATAAAGCCAGTAATTACAGTGTAAGTGTCTGTAACTACACCTCCAGAGGTGCTGGCAGGGGTTTTACTAACATTTCCAGCAGGAGGACTACTGGTTTTCACAGGTGGGCAAAACTATTTGAACTGAACTTCAAATATATAAAAAAAAACTTACATACATACATACTTTATTTGCAACTCCCCAAAGGGGCTTTTCAGTTANAGTTTAAAATTGAATATTAAGAATTTACATTATTAACATTTAAAATATGTTTGATCAAGTGTCCCTTAAACGCTTTCACAGAAGGTAAACTTTCCTCTAGATGGTCAAACCAAGCAGGCAAAATCGTCATAACCGGTCAATTTGCCCGGTGCCCAGACCTTAAGGAAACCCCTGCTGTGGTGAACAGTGTTTTTTCATTCTCTGTTAATTTCTGTTATGTTTTTTTTTTCAGGTCTTAGTTTTGGGAAACAAAAAAGACCTTCCAAATTCACTAGATGAAAAAGAACTTGTGGAAAGATTGTAAGTGAAAAGGGCTTTTTAATTTGGCTTACTTTTAGTACCATTTTGTAGACAGCGGGTGCTTTCTACTGTATTTGACCAAAACTTCTGAAACTTTCAAAACAGGGGCAAATTGTATGGAAATTTCCTTGGAAAGTTTCCAGAAAGTCCAAAAATTGTTGATTTCCTGAAATGCAAATTACCATTCCTGGAAGAAAATCAAATGGAACAGAAATTCCCAGTGAGAAATTTTCGAAAATTTGTTTATTCCTGGGAAGACTGGCCTCTTTTCCGGAAATTCCTGAAAATGCAGTACATAAGTTCCATTTGCCACTTGAAATTACCAAGAATTAAAACCAACATTTCTGCTCAGATGAAAAATGCACATGATTACTTTAATTTAGATGTTTAAGTTGCATTTGTCATGATGTACAAGTAGATGTCATGGTTAGATCTTTATTTGCTTGATTTGTTAACTTGTTAAGGTTTGCTGGCATGTTAGTTCATTACTCACATGTGTGTAATCTTCATCTTTATGTCAGGAATTTGGCTTCCATTCAAGATCGCGAAATCTGTTGCTATTCTGTTTCTTGTAAAGAAAAAGAGAATATTGGTAAGTCCAGATGCAAGGGACAAATTTTGCAAGCTCTGTGCCATCACGCAGGTGGTTTTGCTAAGAAAATTAAGAATTGAAAAAAATCAATTTGTTGCTTTGTAAGCCTGTAATTCATAAAGGAAGTTATCTTGCATCATAAGCCAGACAACATGCTTAAGATCTACTATATAACTAGTAGTAATCAGAGATTACGAGAGTGCCTTCGACGCTCTCACTTTAATGTATAATTATATATCGTAAATAAGTGATTTCACTAGCTGACTTTGAACCTTTGTCTATTGCTAAAATCAACATTTTTCAGCAGCAACCGAGGTGTTAGAGTCAGATATGCATAGTGTCAAAGTCCATGCTAGTGAAGAGGTCACGATTTGTTGATACATTGCGTGACGCTGCCAGTTTCTGTAGTCTCTCAAGTTTCATAGAATATTTACATTACGTACATTATTCTAAGCTAGCATTTGCAGTCGTGTGCTCATTTCGCGACTAATTCGAGTACTTCCCCTGACGAATAAAGTAGTCTTATGGATCTTGCCTTCAGAGTACTTTTCCACCGATTCCAAACAATAAAATTTTGACCGGATAAAGACTGAGCTATCTGTCGCAACTGGAACTAATCAACAAATGCAATCAAAATGTAGCTGTTCCCACGGTTAATCATCCCAAAGCCAAGTCGTGTTAATAAACAAGGACAATTCCCTCAGATTGCGATAAATTCTGCTGTCGAAGCGTTTAAATTCGCCAAAATCTAACACTGAGAGCACATAATAGCGAGGCGTACGGCGACTGAAAGGAAAGAAGTCAAAAAAAGATCCATCGGAAAGACGAGCTCACATGGCCTGCTCACATACTCACATGTTCGCCGCATGTCTTATCACATGTCTTAGCATTAAACGGTACCAGTTTACTGGCCGTGACATGCCCCTGCAAAAATCAAGCGGGGTGGCCATTTTGGTGTCCTTACAGGAATGTGTTTTTTTTCGGCCTAGAACCGTGCACAGGGAGACTAACTCTGAAAAGCCACAGGTCAAAATTAGGTTTGCATTCCACTTCATTGAATGCAACTAGAAGAACCTTGAATTTTGTTGTGAACACAACTAAAACAACAGCACTGACATAATACAGAAGGAACACATTCACTGTTGAGTGTCTTGACCCATTCATTGCCAAGAATACCAAAGGTCAAAATTTAAAACCAAATTGAAATACACTGAAACTCTGTTAATAATAAGACTGCCTTTGGGTCATAAAATTGTGTTTGTATTTAATGAGTTCTTACTAATGAAACATTTTCTTCAGGCTAAAAAAAAGTTGTTAATAATAATTAACAAGATGGTCAAGTCAATGGGTTGGTCATGAAGTGGGCTCCATTGTATTGAAAAATCACTACATGGAAGCGTGTGAACAATTTGAATCGTCACATTATCTGTAGTTTCATCTACAGACTTGAAAGTTGAAATCAGTTTGCACAGCTTGATGAATAATACCACATGAAAGGCAAAACTTTGCTTGGTAGCTTCTATTTGTGTTGTTGCAAGCTATTGTAGGGTTTCGTCCACAGTTGTGATATTTGCAGTGAATTCTTTTAATGGAGAGAGGATTTCACTAGATGGGAGTAATGCTTAAGTGTAGTATCACTGTCTCTGCTCATTTATAATTATGCTACTTGTAACTGTGATATTTTTCCCCTTAGACATCACCCTGCAATGGCTAATCCAACATTCAAAGTCACGTGGTTGACATAACTGCAGTATCAACTTATTTACTAAGAAGACTTACCCTTGGTGCATGTTGAAGAACGAACAGAGAGACCGGGAGGTCCATTCATGATGAGATTTATAGAACTTAAGAAACTCCAAGATCCTTTTCTATCCATAGATGATATTGAGTGCTGAAAGCCACTTTTTTAAATCGTTAATGTATGAAGCAATTGATTAGAGAATATTTCAGCTATTTTCTGCCTACATTTACTGAGTGAGACACAAGAAAAATTGAGTGACATTTGTCTTGTTAGATAGTTCAGTCGGTGGAACAAGTCCAGTTTTTGGCAAATCTTCATTAAGTTTTAACCTCTCATAAAGTTTCCGATGTTCAGTATCCTGTTTTCCATCATGGGGCAATCGGTTGCTTAGCAACTTCGTAACAAAAGCTGCAGGCTTGTCAACCACAATTTGCCATTAGCTGGTACTTGATCCTCTGACTGAGTTTTTGTATGCCCTAAAATAGTTTCGTTGAGGTTGTGTGGAAAGAAATTTCCCTGTCAAAGATGTTGGGGATATAAAGAAGAATACTATTTTGTTCCTTTTCCAGTAAATCTGTTACAACTTCAGTCCAAAGAGTGATTTGACATGTAATTTATCTTATGAGAGTGCAGTCTGGAGGTACCACCAGATTGTTTTATAGAGAGAAGTATTACTTGTTCCTCTGGGCAAAAGGAATGAAATGTTGAACACAGTCACAAACATTGGAGTATTTAGGACGTGCTGTGCACTCAAGCCAGTTCATAATTAAGTTAAAGTGTTTTTCTTACACCAGGCAGAATTTGAAGCAGAAATGTATAACCTTTCGCAGATAAGGAAACAGGATTGATTGAAAAGCAGCAACCTTGACCAATTCATTAATACAAACAAAATGACCTTTATTCGAAAACTCCTCACAGAAAAGTAACAACTGTCAGCTGTATGACACAGTGTATGAGTACAGTAGACGCAGATACACATTATGTACCTATTCTTATAGGATAATAGGATGACCCGAAGTGTGCAAATTCTCTTTTACATGAAGGAGCCCGACTTCCAATCAGGGAAAATGGACAAGCAAGACTTTTTGTAATTCAAAACGTGAATAACACAGGTCGGAATGTTTTACACAGCAAAGGTTTAGATACACTTTGCAACAGTGACTTTTGTTTTCAGCTCAAGTGAAAGCCTATCTGTGACTTTGAGATTCTTGCTTACGGAGGGTCATCACATAGATTCGATTCCTTGTCATAATAAAATATGGCCTTCGACGTTTAAATTCTTTTGGCGCATCTTGCGTCACACACTCCTGACCTCGCCAACAAACTGGAGTGCGCGACAAGCCCAAAGAATGTCTACGCAGGAGGCCAAGGAACATACAGTTTAAATGAACTCCCTAATTAAACTGGAGTTACAGGTAGTTAATAAATTATACGGAAGGTCAGGGGTCCTGGAGTAGTACTGAAGTATTCAAAAGCCGTAGAGCATTAAATTCCTATTGTTTTAAGAATAAATGGTAATTTGGAATAAATGTGGGTGCCTTGGTTTCTGTCAGTGAAGTTTAGACGACACCTCTGAAAACCACCTCAGCCGAGAAAATTTGAATTAAGTTAGGACTATTTGGCCAGCATATACGCATGACGAGTTAGCTTTCATGTTGGTTTGCTTGCACTTAGCATTTACTCTGAGAAGGAAGGTGGTTCTGGTGGATGGCTTGTAATGCTGACGGTTTCTGTAGGTTAGGTAAATCTTGCTCTTTTTGGCGGGTGCTTTGAGCCAACCAGGAGCTCTGAATCCTGAACCAATCACATGCCAGGAGGTTTGAGCCAGTCAGGTGTTGGGAGATTTCTGCGTGTGTTAATAGTCTGTTCCTGATTGGGTTCTTGCTCAAATTCTTTGGAATTTGTGACGCTCGGTGTACCAGTTCTTAGACTTGTTCCCAGATAGTTAGACTTGCCACAAGTCGACCTCTCCTTAATCCTTGACTTATTTATCTCCCTCGAGCGACGAAGTCGCGAGGGCGAAATCAACAGGCCAGGGAAGAATTATTGGAAAGGACTTTTAGAAAGTCTACCAGGTAGAGAGCGCCTGAACTTAATTGATCGGAAATATTCACATTTCCTACGTCTAACTGCATAATTTCAAAATGCCGCACACGTACATGCACGCTCCCAGAGAGGCTAACAACTCGACTTAACGCAAGTCACCATTACCCGTCACATCCTTGCCATTTATTATTCCTGGGTCATTACCAGGCCGTCACATTCAGGCCGCAGTTATATTAAGGGTGGCGAATGCAATGGTCCTTCAAAAACCTTGGGTCTCGGAGATTTTTCGACGAATTTCACGGGTCTCACAGTCTCTCTTTTTGAGCGGTATGTACGTCTCGCAGTTTTTCACAAAGTTGTCTCGTATTCTCGATTTTCTACAAGGCTAAGAAAGTCTGGATGCCCCGATTTGCTGTTTGTCTTTATAAATGATGTCTGAACGTCTCGCGCTCGCACTCAAAACACTTCGAAGTATTTGAAAACTCAAATTGTCTCGGTCTAGCGAAGAAAAATGTTAGTTCATCCACCATTCCTAGTTACATTGTTATATTAGCCGTGAAGATTCCAAGGAAACAACCTCGAATTTTTGTTTCTTGGGAACTAGTCCCTTCATACTATTATTATCATTATCATTATCATTGTTATTGTTGTTGTTGTTGTTGTTAATTTTTTTTTTCCTTTCTCGACTATTGTATATTCCCTTGACTGAAATTCCTGAAGAGTTCCAGTTCTTAATATAAAAACAACTCAATTTCTTCAGTCTTATTTCCGTAAGTTTTATTCATTTGACACGAGTTTCACTGAATGTAACAAAATTATTCTTCTCCATCAGAATTAAGGTAAAGGTGATGCGAGATGCTCAACGAGGTACCACATAAAACGATAACTTTGATGTCTAGTAGGTCAAGTAATTTATGATATCTCAAGCAGTAAATACGCTTAGTGATAAAATAACACAAAGTTAATTGCATGATTAATCAGTGATATATTTTCCGACCCCCACTCAAAGACGATTAAGCTAATACCGCAAGGCTTTTACTTTCTAAAGAAACTGTTGTGCTATGTCGACGAACAAGTTGATAGTAAGCGTGAATTTTGATTTGTTCATAAATTTCAGTGAAGTTTTCTGATTACATTTTTGATCTCTCAAACTGAGTTTCACCAATGCCAAACTCCACAAAACATTGGCCTTGAAAAAACTAAATACAAGAGGAACTTGAAACTCAATTGGCTTTTAGACCTGTATTAGCGATAACCGTCTTTATGGGTATTTTCGTCCCAAGTTTCAGTTCTAGTCACACTACATACGTAATCGATAAACCTCATCAGCAGAAACAACACAAAAAGCGAGGCCATCGCCTTAACTTTGTGTTGAGAGTAGGCACCGAAACTATCCGAAACAACTCTCTAGCAAGTGACACAACAAATCAGATTCTGAATAAATTGTTAAGTAAGAGAGAGGTATTCCCACTATTTAACTTGTACCTTTACCTTGTACATTGTGATAATTGTTTACTGGTTTTCACGCGCTACCTTAAAAAGTTTGGTCAGGTATGTATTCGCAGACATTTCGTCAGGTTGGTCACACATTCCTCTTCGCGAGACAAGCCGCGCAGAAAGAAGGGTTGATTTGTCTCGAACGAAACAGACAGACGCCAGTTGCGTTGAATAGAATTAGCCGCGTTTTTCAGAAATCAAAGTAACTTTTTCAAGGAAATCTAACTAAACTGATATAACGACCGCTTTTCCATTTGACCAAAAATTCCGATTTGAATTTTCGAAGAAGAATTTTCTGGAATTCCTGAAAGCTCTGCAACCTCGCGAGGTGTACCAAAGCACTAAAACCCCTTACAGGGAAGTTCCGTTTCATTTGATTTTGTTCCCGGAATTTCGCTAATTTTCGGTCAGTTACTTCGGTCTAAAATGTGGTTCACAAATCAAAAATCAGGCAATTCTCGTATTTTCCGGAAAGTTTCCCAGGATATGTCCGCGCCATTTGTCCTGGCCTCGTTATGAAAGTTCTGAAGTTTTGGTCCAATGAAAAGTACCCTAAAACTCCGACTCTCTTCAAATAAATCGTCCTTTCCGTGGCGATCGTCGCTCACGCTGACAGTCTTTCGACTTCACAAGGGACTTCCGAGTTCGTTCACAACCGACTTCGACTTAGCGACGAGCTGCCGACTGTGCGACGGACTTCCGACTATCATGGAAAAGCTATAAGGCGTAAAAGGTGATGGCTTCATAGAATACTTGATTGTTTGAAGTCCCAGGTAGCCACGAGGCCCTCCACAGTTATCAAAAAATTGACTCTCATTCTTTTTCAGTCGACATTTTCGTACGAATATCGTGCACAAAAATAACACTCTTTCGTAACAATTGCGGAAGCGGAATATTTTTGAACAAATATTAAGAAATCATAGCTTCTTTGCTTTTAGATGTAAAAAAACTTCAAAATAATATTTCAACGTTCTAAGTGTAAAACGTACCTTCGTCAATAAATTAACTTGCATAAATTTCTTTGAATAAACTTGAAGTTACATTTAGAGATCCTGGAAACCTGAATGTTCCATTTAGTTTTGCTCTCAAAAAGAATTGGAGACCCCAGTCTCAATTTACAAATAAGACTATTTTGCTAGTTTCAAAATTACTTTGTCTAAAATCGTCAAACTTTTTAAAGTTCCCCTTCACGTAGGAAATGCAACGAGAGATTTGACATGGGCAGGGAAAGCTAATTCTAAATTTAGCTATCGATAAATTTGGCTTCCCGTGTGTGGAGAAATTATTTCGAGAACTAACAGTTGACGGCAGGAGAGGATGAAGGGTGTGGAAGTTCATCTCGCCTATCAAGTTATTTTTAGACATGGTACCCTGTTCTTTCGCAGATAACGTCACCACGCGCGTTGCGTGGATGTTTTCGAGGAAGATGACGATGCGTGTTACGCGGCTTGGATCACAGGATTAAGTATTTCTAGACCCTTCTGGGATTTTCGACACCTGGATTGATCTAAACTCAACTTGGGAGGGATTACCTTCTAACCCTTCAACCTCTCTTGTTGCCCACTTAGTTTAGTTACTGACCTATAACTCTGGAGGCTATTGCAATCAAACCAAGTGAAGCGTACCCCTCACGATTACATTAATGAATTGATTATTTGAATATTGAACCCGCTAGTTATTTTGNGATTACATTAATGAATTGATTATTTGAATATTGAACCCGCTCGTTGTTAAACGACTAGCGCGTTCAATTTTCAAATAATCAATTCATTAATGTAATCTTGAGGAGAACGCTTCATTTGGTTTGAATGTAAGGCCGTAAGTCCATTTGCTCTTAGAATAATCTACTAGCGTTCTATCTCGAATGCCGTGCTCTTATTAGCTACGCTACTTACCATCTATTGTTTTAGTACAAATCTACCAGCGTTCTATTACGAATGCCGTTCTCTGATGGGCTAAGCTACTCACTATCTATTCTGTGACAGATAGTGAGTAACATAGCAGTGTGCCCTTGTTAGCAAAATGACGACCGCTTCTTGGCGTTTTCGAAGTGTCTGTGAAGAGGATGTAGATAAAGTTTTGAACGACTAGTAGATTTATACTAAAACAATTAGATTATTCGCTCTCGATTTCTATGCGTTATGGTTGACGAAGGCGTATCACGCCGTAGAAATCGAGAGCGAATAATCTAATTGTTAATTAGATAGTGAGTAGCCTAGCAGTATGCGCCTGTTAACAAACTGGCGACCGCTTCCGTGCGTTTTCGAAGTGTCTGTGAAGAAGATTTAGATAAAGTTTTGAACGACTAGTAGATTTAGACTAAAACAATTGGATTATTCACTCTTGTTGACAAGGGCGCAGCCCGAGTCAACCATCGCGCGAAAGAAATATAGAGCTCATCAGAAAATTATAAATTAATTTCTCAGTTTAATTCTACTTTAAACCATTAGTGAGCAGGTTACTTTGTATGCTCGTTTTTTGGACTTAAGCACTTGATGTTTTGACCCTGGGCCAAACGAAAACTCAAGTCAACAAAAATTTCAATTTTTCAATACTGTGGAACAGAACTAGAGTTTTTAAGCGTAAAATTCCCATAACAAGCCCTGGGCTGACTTTGTTTAAAAAAAGATTCTTGCTGGGTCAACTTTTAGCAGGTTTGCTTTCAAAAATGGCTTGGCTTATATTTCCAAGGCATTTTGTGCCTGAAACAATTTAGAATCATGTAAGAAACATCATTCTGTACTTCACAGCTTTCCAAAATTGACAAAACTGAACACAATGCAAGTGAACAACAAAAATGTCTGAGATTACCTAAATATAGGATGAGAAACAATGTCTGCAATAAGGGCTAAAATAAATCGGAAGATTTTAATCTATTAAGTCTTTTCAGCTCGGGGTGTAATTTTTCAACCTGTTATGGCAATTGTACGGTATATTAGAGAAAAGGGCGCTAGTTCTGTTAGACGTTATTCGAATAGGGGTGCTTATTGAACACAGGGGGCTCCACCGAGTCAATGCGGTATTCCATTTAAAGTACTAAGACTGACATTATATGTTGAATTGGCCATTTCCGAGTTTCGCTTACCTCTGTTTCAAAGTGAGTCTTGGTGCACAACCTTACATATTAAAGCGAGTTTTTCTTGCACTTTTCTCGTCTTACGAACAAAATCATAACTTATTTCCGTACGAAAGTTGGGGCACCAGGACTCGTTTGAAACACAGGTAAAAAGTATCTAGGATATGGCTTATTGAAACAGTTAAGGGGACATTGGTCTAAACCACCGTGCCCCACCCTTCACGTATTTTCTCCGTGACTTGATCAAAAATGCTAGAGAAAGAACTACCAGTTTCGAACTTGTTCGTGCAGCCGACAGCTTTGAAATATAGTTGAAGAAACAAGCTACGGACAGCTCCTAAACGCAGCTGTCGATCGGAGGATTCGTCTACACTTTCGGCCCTGTCGAGAAGCAACGAAATGAAAAGCCTTTTAAAAGTACACTTCAAGGGAAAAAAGTTTTAAGTATTAAAACTGCTGTTGCTCGGCCTTTTTGAGCAATTTTCGACTGAATGTCGAAGATGAGTATAGGTGTTTCCCTTGCTGCTCTGTAATTGGCTCAAAATCACGTGCATCGTGCTCTGACCAATCAGAACAACCAGAAACAAATTCAACCAATCAGAAACAAACCCAAAACCACTCGTCACTTGGCTCAAACGCGTTTTCCTGCGCTTAGCGCTGGTTGCAAAACATCATCAAGCTCTGATTGGCTCGTATTCTTTGTGTTTGTTCTGATTGGCCTGATGTATTCAGGTGGAGTTTGGTTGATCAACAGTCACTTGAACACCAAAAGACAGTTCGCGCACCTCAACGACTTTCAAACTTACGTGGAATAAAATAACAGAAACTAAGAACAAGTAACTCACAAGCTTGTTGTACTGCTACCATGACCTAGCGCGGATATCGGCGAATCCCGCACAGAGGTAGTTCCATTTGGACTTCCTGTACCAGATATCAGCTGCCAACTGAAAAAATACCACACACAGTTCGGGTCTTAGCCTTTTTCACGATATAACGAGAGTTACGCGACCATTTGAGCGCTTTTCAAAGGCGAGAAAACTGGAAATAAATCTAATAAGCAAGGAAAGAAGTTGTCAAACGCAAAAATTTGAGTGTGCAAGCAAAACAAGTTATCGTGTACGAATCAAAAAAGAAACGAAAATGACGCGCGTATAAACTTGTGAGAGCGAGACAAAACGGGAAACTTTTACCACTGCAACAGAACTTGTGCACTTGTAAGAGAAGAAAAGTTATGTAGGAAAGTTGTACGTGTAAACATACGTGCCAAGTCATTCTAAAACCTCTCTTTAGGATAAATATAATATTTATTTATTGAATTCGGTTTTACCTTCCACATACGGATGAAGAAGATGATTTCTGAAAGAGAGAGGAAATATTTTCCATGACTACAAACGATTCCTTTATGAAACTTCAACGTACAAATCGTCATTAAACTAAGGAACGACCGAACGACCGAACGAACGGACGAGTAAGCGAGCAAGTAAACAAACGGACAAACGGCCAAACAAGTGAGCAAGCGAACAAATAAATTCACGTACTTGATCACACGGATTGGAATTCTTTCTTGACCGACGAGGAACTGGAAGCGGACTGGTGGACTGGTGACGACCTTCATGATCAACATGAGAACGGGGTGGAGAATGATAGGCCGCGTGTGCACCATTAAAACTAGGGAAACTGAGAAAACAATTATAATACAATGCAACAGTGTCTTGTAAACTTATAACACTCCTTGCGGGTACTCCGTAGTTTTTTTAGTTGAGATACTACCCGAAAAACAAACTTTCTCCCTTCAAGTGTAATGCCAATGTTGTGACCACGTGACAGCGTCGCCAAAGCCCGTTTCAACATTGATTGGAGGGGGGAGGGGTTGGGGGTGGCTATTGACGAAAAAGTGTTTCTTTTATCAACGGAGGTGCGGATCTTGGTTCGAAAATGTGCAATTTGCAAAAAATCGTCTCAATACATATTTTGTCCCTGATTGTAGGTCTCCAAATTATGACACTATTTTCCACTCCCTTGAAGTTTCAGACTTAGACTTGGACTTGGCCCAGCTATCTAAGGCATAAAATCGGGTTTTATTGCATAGAATCGCATTTTTCGGTTACTTTCCTTTTTTTCTTTTCTTGATTTAAGATCAAGCGAATGATAAGTACGTATTTAAAATATACTAATTCTTGGTTTCCTTAAAATCCATAGTTACCCAATTTCAGACCAAAATGGCAAAATCTCGGACACATTTTCTGAGCAAAACAGCTAAAAAGTCAAAGCCTTTGGGGTGGTACATCAAAACATAGCTGATGTAGGAAAGTAACACACAGGGATAACATGGATCCACACAGTTTTCCTTTGAACAACTTGGTTATTTCGAATTCGCTGTTATTTCGAACTCCCACTATTTCAAACTAATTTTCGTTTCACAATAGCGGGGTTCAATAGACCATTTTACTGTTGTCTGCTCAGTGACCTGGCCTTTGGATGGCAGCAAGGCTGGAGTTGACCTTGTTTTGATACAGACCTCACTGCTTTTGTCATGTAAATGCACCTAGTTACCATCAGAACAACTTGTTTTATACAACAAAAGCAGTGAGGTCTGTATCAAAACAAGGTCAACTCCAGCCTCGCTGCCATCCAAAGGCCAGGTCACTGAGCAGACATGTCCTACCTGGTAAATGATGATGATGGAGCCATCTCAGAATCTTCTGCAATCTCCTGACCAATGAAAAAACTTGTTCGCTGTTCAGATGTTACGCTACTGCAGCTGCTCAGGCTCGAGTTACTGCCCCGCAACAAACGGTCCTCTGTAAACATAAACAACAGTAAATAAATAAATAAATAAATAACCAAACAATAAATTTTCACTCTTCGTTAAGACAAGAAGCAAAGTCACACAACATGTAGATGTCAGATTTCAGATTTAATGACATAACAAGCGAAAACAACATAAATCATTGTCATAACGTTGTTCGGAGATTGGTTCTAAATTAGTTTAGATTTTTACAATTATATTTTGCCGTTTTCTCTTAAGTTTTAGCTTTGACTGAGAATATAATATCAACCAATCATCAAGAGACTGTTCCGTGACATATCCAGACATTGTATTTTTAACTCTCTTCTCCGTGCTCGGAAACGTGATGAAACTCTGTTTCTCCTTTTTGATATACCTGAGGTAAAAACGTTGTATCTGCTATAAAAGACTGAACAATAACCAAGCAAGGTCTCCCAACTAACCTAACAGAACTGTACCAGGATCAAACTGGCCAATAGAATCACTACGCTTGTCACTGGTTCTGAAAAACATGAAGAAAAAAGCTCAGCATACACAAAGGACACTGTAAAACTGATATAACCATGATGCGATTCTGGACTCTTGACTACAACTTTATAACTACTCCTTCCAGCCTCCTATAGTTTTTTTTTTCTGGAAACAATTAACAACTGCCTTGAAGAGTAGTTGTTGGGTGTCTGAGACACCCAGGAGCTTCCACTTTTCACAGCCAGCTCCTAGATGAAGGCTGCTTCCATGGCTGGCAAATCATGGCAACCCAGCCACGAGCCCCCAGGCGGAAGCGAGCACCAGTCACACTGGGAAAGCGGAGGGGAAAAAAGACAGCCTATAAGAAGAGTGCCCAGGCTAAAAGAGTCACTAACGCTCAAGAAAACGCTCACTAAACACAAACTGCCACATCGCCCTTTGGTCCAAGAAGACATAGAATGCTGGCGCATGTGCATATCAAAATGCTGCTGACCTAAAAGGTAAGACTTGAGCTCTTATTGTTAAATTTAACTTTTAACCAGACATAACAATGTATCTTCACATAACAACAAAAATACACAGTACCTCCTAGGTGCTGAATTCACAGAAAAGTCATCTGATGCTATATTTTTCAAGAAATTGAAACAGAAGAAGAAAACCTGGAAGAGCACAAAAATTCTGTTTAGTGACTATTCATGTAGCTGGCTGTACAGTTGTCTAAAGGAAAATGGTTTTTAAATGTGTCCTTAAATTATAATGAAAGACTAGTTTGAGAAGATAGCAGAGAACTTCTAATTGGAGTCTTCCTGTACATGTACCAAGCCTTATTTTTAATCATTACCTAACCTTTATTCTCTAATGTCAGGGGCTCGATATGAATACAGAGCTAGCAACTTAAATTAAATGTGAATGCCAATTGTGACACCTTAGATCCAGAGACATAACAATAACAACATCACCATCTTTTGAGTGCATTTAACAGTGCTCAATGCGCTTATGAATAAAAATCTTACATAACTTACAAAATAGTTAGTCAAGATCAAAAGCATGCAAAATGTAGTCAAACAACAATATTCAAGATGCACTCACTACATCTACAATCGAGACTAAAGGCAGAGCAAAAACAGTTCCCAAAATCTAGAAAGTGTAAGAAAGTAGTCTACTGCATCCTGTGAAAACACTTGCATGACAAGCTTCACTGTACCTAAGTATCTGAACATTAAGTGCATACTAATCTACTACAAACCATACCTCCTCGCCACGCTGGAGTCTTTCTGGAAGACCATGCCTTGGACAAACAGAAAAGCTACCGTCAAATTGATAAACGAGCAGGTTGTCATAATTGTATCACTATATGCATCACTAACAGAATAGTAAGAATACTGTAATTGAACAGTAAGTCAACAACAACACAATTAAAAACAATTATTGCTGATTGACAAAATCAGCATGACATCAGTACACAAACTTTTTTAGAATGGACAAGTCACAACTCTGATGGGAGTTTTCAACACACCAAAAAAAAAACAGAACTTTGTTTTACATACAGTACTAGGTGAGTGTACACCTAATCAGCTATTGCGCACTTGAAGTTGAGTAAATTAATGTTTTGCCAGTCCGTGATTGTTTTTGAACAATCACAGACTGGAAAAACATCGGACTCGCATTTTTTCGAAACATTTCCAGCAGTGTAATAAATTTCTTATTAACCAAGCGTGTTTGGGAAGGTACTGGGAGAAAATCGGCCATCGCTCATCTCTGTTCTGTCAAGACCTCCAGTCAATATTCTCTCAGTATGGCCCTCGTGCTCGGTTAATAAGAGATATTTACTAACTGTCTTACCCAAATAGAAACCAATCATAAGCAATGGTAAGAAAAAGTAGCTCTGCAGGACTCAGTGACTGGTGAATACGGCCATCCTAGTAAACATAAATGACAGAGCAAATTTATCACTCTATTCAATTACACGTAAATCTGAAGGTACTTTTTCATGTCTACATTGTAGACACTTCAAGAAACTAACAATAATTTAGTTCAAAGCGTCTTACCGCCCATAGAGACATTCTGAGGAGTGAAATAAATAAAGGAGTTCTGTCCCATCCAGATATGCAGTGAATCAACAATCCACCTTCACCTAAATTAAGGGAGCAAAGAATGAGACTCTCAAGGAAGTTCATCACATCACATCTTACAACCATTGAATTTTTGGGAGCAGGGATGGTGCATTGGTGAGAGCACTTGCCCCTTACCGATGGGTCAATTCTGATAAACTACTTGATAAGTTGAATGGAGCAACACCTTAGCTAGCTGTACATAGCACTCTGAAGGCATTGCACCCAACTTTTGGTATTTTAGAAAACTGGTTGCAGAGGAGAGGTGGTCACTTACAAGAGGTGGTCGCAACCGGAGGTTCAACTGTATAAGTTTGATAAAAGTTTACCACTGCACTTACAACATGCAACTTTTAAGAACACAACATGCTAACATTGCCCACAGGTTTAGTCAAGGATTGAAGGTAGGACTTTGTCAGGACCTATTCCTCCATCTGAACTATACAGACCTGCAGAGCGTGCAAGGGCTACAGAGCTTCACTATGCTTTGCACACATTGTGCCCTCTATATGCATTGCATGCCTACAATGCTGAAGTGACTAGCTAGCTGTACACAGCAGTCTGAACACATTGCACCCATTGTGCACACGTATTGCATGCCTATAATTCTTGGTAATATACTGTGACCCAGCTATGACACCAATGAGCTACTTACCATCTTTAACACAGCTAATCAGAAGATGCAGGTAGTTTTGAGTTAATGTCACAAGGTCCCATGACTAAAGAAAAAAGTAACACTGAGAAAATATAGGGACTCAAGATAATACATGTACAAGTCAAGAATAAGAGTAATCTTTCACTAGCTGAGTGAGACAAAATAAGTGAAAAATGTTTTTTTCACACACTGCTGGAACCTGGGCCAGTATAGGTCATGTGACCTGTGGAGCAAGCAGTTGTTTCTGTTGCCTATGCCATTGCCGACTTTGCTGCCCACCCACCCACCCAAAGAATTTGAGTTTTCATACAATGCCAGTGTAATGTACAAGCCTCAATTTTTTTTTCATAGCATAACGCTATTTGTATTTTAGCTTTGAGTCAGGTGGCCGCAGTCAGCTTGACATGGCTACCAGTGGTGGGTGAGAAAATTTGTTACTGAAAGTCACTAATGTGGTGAGCATACCTAACATACCATATGCCATAATCGTGAGCACTATGTTAAGTACACATATCAAGTTTCAGTTGGTCTATTTTGAAAGAGGAGGGCTCAGAATAAGTGACCCCCTCCTGTTTGTGCAGACACAATAGAGTTAGTTTTGGAAGAACCTCTATATAAGTCATTGCATTAAACTGTCACCTGTGGCTGCAAGCCTGCTTGTCAGGGCAAGAAAGGAATGGCTTTATGCATGTATAGGAAGTCCTCGGGCCCTCTCCCTTGCCCTAAAAACCAGAGCTTCAGGTCACATGATATCTTGTGAATATTTTTACTGAATTCTGACCTGATAGTTGTTCCATTCTATACCCTTGTGATTCAATAATAAATCAGGGACACTGAATTTTGTGTCAACGTAGTCCTACAAAAGGAGAAAAAAGACAATTAAATTATTGCATATTTATTAGGGTTAGAAACAATGAACAGATAAAATTTAATGACTGCAAACAAGTTTACAAAATATGTGAGATTTTTTTACCTGCTGCCAATTAAAGTGTAAGCCATGTGCATTGTATTCATTGTCCTTAAAATCTCTAAAAAATTCACAACCTATTATTGGAGATGAAATAAGGTTAGAAATAGTTAGAAATATCCTCTCACTTGTCTTATCACATTTGCAGTCCAAACTCCAGCTTTATCAAATTATTAATTTATTGTTCATGAATCTAGTACTTATTTCAGACATAGAAACATGTACCATGTTTCTATCAAGTTCACAAAAGGTATTCTCTGATTGGCTATCTATTCTGTTATAGCTAGTGAGTAGCATAGGAGTGAGTGCTTTTTAACAAACTGGCAGCCACTTCCTTGTGTTTTTAAAGTGTCTGTGAAGAGGAGTTCGATAAAGTTTTGAATGACTGGCAGATTTATACTAAAACAATTACAATAGATTATTTGCTCTCGATTTCTATGGGAGATAGTTGACTCAGGTTACGTCCTTGTCAACTATCGCGCGATAGAAATCTCAAGCTCATAATCTAATTGTTAAATAGAAACACAAGTGCATGTTTGGGAGAATGAGAAATGCTGAGGGAAAACGAGCCAAAGGGTGAGTGTTTCCACAGCTTTTTCGAGTTCTCCCAAACTTTTACGAGTCTATGAATTAATAGCAACACCGAGAGCATGTTTTCTACAAAGAAAACAACTTGTTTACTTTGATCATTAAAATGTACATTCTGTCATCATTACATCAGCAGCTTAAGTGCTATACACAAAAACATGATTTTTAACCAATCAACTTGCACATTTTCTTTGGGCTATTTTGTAAAATTTCATTTATCACTGTACCCCAAATAGGCTCAAAATTTTAGTGTGTGTAAATCAACATTAATTTTTACACAAACCATGAGATTTTCAATACACATCAAGCCAATGACATTACTACTAATTGATTTTGGATAGGATCATAAGAAAAATCTTACGCATAGTGCAAGAACTTCGCTTAGTGGATAATTAACGTAATCTCTATCTAATGCTAAGCCTCCCCCTGGTCAATAATAATTAATAATTAATAACTATAATTATACATTTATATAGCGCTAATACTATCAAATATTCAAAAGCACTTTACACATAAAAAGAAGCTGACAAACTAAAACAAATATCTATAAAAAGCATAAAATGTGCTAAAAATACAAAAATATAAAGCTCAATGCTATATAACTGACACCTGAAACAAATAACACATATTTTATGTAAATACCTGGATAGGGAACAGAGCATAAACAAAAGTCTGAGTAGCGCTGAATCTTGTCCACCTTCTCTGATGATGTCACTCTAAAAAAATACCATTGTAGTTCATTAACTTCTTATCACAGAATAAATTGGAAGTCAAGTAACTCAAAACTCTATGACAGCTCTGGCATCTGGAAGAGGTAAGTGGATCAGAGGAGACATCTGAAAAGGATATCTACTTAATATATAAGGGAACTCTTGAGCGTAAAAATGAAATGGATGTAGTTGTCAAAAAGAACAAGGAAAAGGAAGCCCAGCACAGAAAAATGTCTTTATCTCAAAATCACTGTTACCCCTATAGGTGGTTTCAAAATATGAAACTCAAACATCTTGTTATTACATCTAAGTGGTACCAAAAAAAGACATTTCAGATTGTCAAAGTATGACAGATATCCCTGTTGACCAGTACTATATACTATATCCCCCACTGGGGGAGGGGGGGCTCCCATATGAAAATGTTAGAGATGCTCATCATCTTGCTTACGGGTGAAAAGGATGTCTGCAGGACAAAACACCCCTATTTTGCTGTCAAGATACCTTTTAGGGTTGCACTCGAAAAAAAAAAGTGATATTTTAATAATAATATAGGGGTCAAATAAAGCTTAAGATATACCCAAATTGATCCCCTTTAGGGGAACCCTTAATTCAAATTTTACAATGAGAATCCCCGACTTTTTCACATCCATGGTTGTCCCACCCACCCCCGGACTGTACTCATAGGAAGTTCATCATCAAAGGCCTTCATGATGATGCTCACCTCATGCCAAACTTCACTTTCTTTTTCTCAACCATTAAGTCACAAATATACTTGACTCTGAGTGTCTTAAGCAAGCGGATGTCCTGCCCTCTGATGCGGTCAAATAAGTCATAATCTCCACTACAAAAAAATGAAATTACATTCATTTGCTACGAGTCATCATCATCATCTCCAATTGTCGCGGCAACTGGTACATGCATAAGGCAGTCATGTCCTGTGCTACCACCTCGGCATTGAGGACAGTTGAGTTTTATCAATCTAGAGAAATTTACCAGTCATACTAAGTATAATTCTGGAATGTTTAACTCATTTAACTGGTTGATACTAGAATTTGAGCTATGGTGGACAGGCCTGACAAGTCCAACACAGTTATCAACCTTAGAAATGCAATCACCACCATATGACTGATTGTCTTTACCTTCTCTTCCAATCAATAGTGCTGTAACAGTACACCAATGCACCGGTGAATCACAATATTTTTTGTCACAATACAAATATCGATACTACAACAAGATATCGTGATATTGTGATATTATGATATTGTGATTCTTCATGAATAAAAAATTCAGCATTCAGAAATAACTGTCTTTACAATGACTCCTTACCCAAGCCCAAGCCCTTTCAGAGCTACTGTATTTATTAAACAAAGGCACCCAGGAAAGAGAAAAAAAGTTCCATCTTTGCTTTGTACTGCTTTGTGTGCCTCTGGTCACATATCTTTCAAGATGGTGGCCACACAAAAGCATGCAAAGTTCCAATTAGTTGTCAGCTGACACAGTCTTGTGCATCCACAGACAAAACACATGGTTCGTCCATCCATGGTTTGTTATAAATGGAAATAATGATTACAAAGCAATAAGTAAGAATAAGATTACATCACCTGTCAGGTGTATATAATAATGTACCAGATCGTGTATCGTATCGTGGCACTACATATTGAGATATGTAGCGTATCGCGAGGAGTTACAGCCCTACCAATCAATCTGGCATCATAATATTAGAACTATCACATGCCTACCACTGCATTTCCAGGCACAAAACCCTTAAAAATTCACCTTGAGTACAAAGGACCTGTACTATTCACTCCATTAAGATCGTCAAGTGGGTTATCAGGGATACTCTCTCCACCTGTAAATAATAAATGGAATGATCGTAAAATTATTAATATCTATGCAAGGCTTCCTTGCATCTAATATGGCCACAGTAATTAATATCTAAAAGTAATTATAACAATAATAATTTATAATAACAATAATAAATTGACTAGACCAAGCAAGATTGGCAAATTTTGTATCAGGCTAGAGAAATTTTGTCATCTGCTATGCTAAGGAGAACTACAATCATGATTTTTTACATAATGTTCTAAAAGTTTGAATCTAAAGGCAGAAATCTTGAATTACAGTAAGAAGGGATTACATAGTATTTCTGTCCAAATTTCAAATAAATCAAATGTGCCAGGTGTACCGAAAAAGTGGGAGAGAATCTAAGAGTCATCCAATTACTGTCTGATCAAACGCTTCCTGTCACAGTATTTAAATACAATCCATTCCTACCAGCAAAAAGGAAGTCATATCCAGATCGACCATAAATTTCCGCTCCTCCTGACAGTGTAGCTGATCTGCAGATATTCTAAACAAGGAAATTAAGAACCATTAATCAACCTGTAACTAATCTTGGGCAGGCTTGTCATTGCGCCTTTCCATAACAAGAAAACTTTACAGAAACAATGATTGGTTTGAGAAAGTGAAACAACTTTTGGTTCAAGTCAATGGTGGTTCAAGAAATCAACATTCTACTGCAGTAATTATTAGTGTTGCATCAGTTTAAGGAGGCGTTTACATAATGCCAAAAGGTGACTTTGATACCAGTGCAAGTTCATCCGGCTTCCCTTGAGTGGCTCTGTGTTTATTTGCATGATACCACCAGAAAATCACTACAATTTCACTACAGTCAAATCAAATTGTTGAACACAGTTCAGACAGCATAGTCGGAAGCTGGGAGGAGCCGCCAAACATTTGATTGACAGTAGCGAAAAACGCATTTGTCGATTGAGCTTTGAATTTTAGAGTCCGCATGTTATTGAAAGGCGCAGTAATGCTGGGGGTAACCCTGTGATGCACTGGCGTCCCATCCAGGGGGAGTAGAAATATTCCAGTAGTCACTTCATGCTACAGAAACCAGGATAAGCTCCAGCCTGATGGGCCACTTGTTTTGTATGCAGACTTTACCTACTTAAGTTGTGGTTTGGTAAACATTACCTTTCCCTCAAAGAGAATAACTGGTACTACAAATCTTGATCTGCATCGCGCAAATCTGGCCTTCACAAATAGATCACGAAGTTTCCTTGCATCATTCACTTTTTGACTGTGGGATAGAAATGTTTACTTATTAGAATTTTATTACTTCCTCAACAATTTAGAAAAAACATACACACCTTACAAAAAATCTTATCAATTTTGCTATCCATATTCTGATTTGGGTTCTTTACACAGTACAGATTTGATCTTATGATGTGATGGACTGACAGTAGATTTTTAAATATTAATTAAACACAGCTTCTTGTGGTGGCACTTCTGTCGATCGCCACGTGGCCCCAATATAATAAATTTAAATTTGTAATCTTCAAGCTGTACCACAGTTGTAAGCGTGAAGAAATTAATTTCCGGAAACAGCCCGGAAAACGTAAAATTTTCAAACAAGTTCAACTGAAAATGCTTGTATTTTACAACGAATGACAACCGTAAATGTTGCACACGACATTTTAATGACTCCAGGAAGCGAGAAAACTCTTTACAAATTTACGCCTACGGTAAAGCTCTTGGCAACACCATCGCCATGTACACTACCTGTCGGTCTTTTCCGATTCACTAGCGTTGAGTTTTGCCTCCAAAATAACCAGTTTTAGTGGATAGTGACCACAAAGGTCGCCATTGTTGTNTCAGCTTGACATGGCTACCAGTGGTGGGTGAGAAAATTTGTTACTGAAAGTCACTAATGTGGTGAGCATACCTAACATACCATATGCCATAATCGTGAGCACTATGTTAAGTACACATATCAAGTTTCAGTTGGTCTATTTTGAAAGAGGAGGGCTCAGAATAAGTGACCCCCTCCTGTTTGTGCAGACACAATAGAGTTAGTTTTGGAAGAACCTCTATATAAGTCATTGCATTAAACTGTCACCTGTGGCTGCAAGCCTGCTTGTCAGGGCAAGAAAGGAATGGCTTTATGCATGTATAGGAAGTCCTCGGGCCCTCTCCCTTGCCCTAAAAACCAGAGCTTCAGGTCACATGATATCTTGTGAATATTTTTACTGAATTCTGACCTGATAGTTGTTCCATTCTATACCCTTGTGATTCAATAATAAATCAGGGACACTGAATTTTGTGTCAACGTAGTCCTACAAAAGGAGAAAAAAGACAATTAAATTATTGCATATTTATTAGGGTTAGAAACAATGAACAGATAAAATTTAATGACTGCAAACAAGTTTACAAAATATGTGAGATTTTTTTACCTGCTGCCAATTAAAGTGTAAGCCATGTGCATTGTATTCATTGTCCTTAAAATCTCTAAAAAATTCACAACCTATTATTGGAGATGAAATAAGGTTAGAAATAGTTAGAAATATCCTCTCACTTGTCTTATCACATTTGCAGTCCAAACTCCAGCTTTATCAAATTATTAATTTATTGTTCATGAATCTAGTACTTATTTCAGACATAGAAACATGTACCATGTTTCTATCAAGTTCACAAAAGGTATTCTCTGATTGGCTATCTATTCTGTTATAGCTAGTGAGTAGCATAGGAGTGAGTGCTTTTTAACAAACTGGCAGCCACTTCCTTGTGTTTTTAAAGTGTCTGTGAAGAGGAGTTCGATAAAGTTTTGAATGACTGGCAGATTTATACTAAAACAATTACAATAGATTATTTGCTCTCGATTTCTATGGGAGATAGTTGACTCAGGTTACGTCCTTGTCAACTATCGCGCGATAGAAATCTCAAGCTCATAATCTAATTGTTAAATAGAAACACAAGTGCATGTTTGGGAGAATGAGAAATGCTGAGGGAAAACGAGCCAAAGGGTGAGTGTTTCCACAGCTTTTTCGAGTTCTCCCAAACTTTTACGAGTCTATGAATTAATAGCAACACCGAGAGCATGTTTTCTACAAAGAAAACAACTTGTTTACTTTGATCATTAAAATGTACATTCTGTCATCATTACATCAGCAGCTTAAGTGCTATACACAAAAACATGATTTTTAACCAATCAACTTGCACATTTTCTTTGGGCTATTTTGTAAAATTTCATTTATCACTGTACCCCAAATAGGCTCAAAATTTTAGTGTGTGTAAATCAACATTAATTTTTACACAAACCATGAGATTTTCAATACACATCAAGCCAATGACATTACTACTAATTGATTTTGGATAGGATCATAAGAAAAATCTTACGCATAGTGCAAGAACTTTGCTTAGTGGATAATTAACGTAATCTCTATCTAATGCTAAGCCTCCCCCTGGTCAATAATAATTAATAATTAATAACTATAATTATACATTTATATAGCGCTAATACTATCAAATATTCAAAAGCACTTTACACATAAAAAGAAGCTGACAAACTAAAACAAATATCTATAAAAAGCATAAAATGTGCTAAAAATACAAAAATATAAAGCTCAATGCTATATAACTGACACCTGAAACAAATAACACATATTTTATGTAAATACCTGGATAGGGAACAGAGCATAAACAAAAGTCTGAGTAGCGCTGAATCTTGTCCACCTTCTCTGATGATGTCACTCTAAAAAAATACCATTGTAGTTCATTAACTTCTTATCACAGAATAAATTGGAAGTCAAGTAACTCAAAACTCTATGACAGCTCTGGCATCTGGAAGAGGTAAGTGGATCAGAGGAGACATCTGAAAAGGATATCTACTTAATATATAAGGGAACTCTTGAGCGTAAAAATGAAATGGATGTAGTTGTCAAAAAGAACAAGGAAAAGGAAGCCCAGCACAGAAAAATGTCTTTATCTCAAAATCACTGTTACCCCTATAGGTGGTTTCAAAATATGAAACTCAAACATCTTGTTATTACATCTAAGTGGTACCAAAAAAAGACATTTCAGATTGTCAAAGTATGACAGATATCCCTGTTGACCAGTACTATATACTATATCCCCCACTGGGGGAGGGGGGGCTCCCATATGAAAATGTTAGAGATGCTCATCATCTTGCTTACGGGTGAAAAGGATGTCTGCAGGACAAAACACCCCTATTTTGCTGTCAAGATACCTTTTAGGGTTGCACTCGAAAAAAAAAAGTGATATTTTAATAATAATATAGGGGTCAAATAAAGCTTAAGATATACCCAAATTGATCCCCTTTAGGGGAACCCTTAATTCAAATTTTACAATGAGAATCCCCGACTTTTTCACATCCATGGTTGTCCCACCCACCCCCGGACTGTACTCATAGGAAGTTCATCATCAAAGGCCTTCATGATGATGCTCACCTCATGCCAAACTTCACTTTCTTTTTCTCAACCATTAAGTCACAAATATACTTGACTCTGAGTGTCTTAAGCAAGCGGATGTCCTGCCCTCTGATGCGGTCAAATAAGTCATAATCTCCACTACAAAAAAATGAAATTACATTCATTTGCTACGAGTCATCATCATCATCTCCAATTGTCGCGGCAACTGGTACATGCATAAGGCAGTCATGTCCTGTGCTACCACCTCGGCATTGAGGACAGTTGAGTTTTATCAATCTAGAGAAATTTACCAGTCATACTAAGTATAATTCTGGAATGTTTAACTCATTTAACTGGTTGATACTAGAATTTGAGCTATGGTGGACAGGCCTGACAAGTCCAACACAGTTATCAACCTTAGAAATGCAATCACCACCATATGACTGATTGTCTTTACCTTCTCTTCCAATCAATAGTGCTGTAACAGTACACCAATGCACCGGTGAATCACAATATTTTTTGTCACAATACAAATATCGATACTACAACAAGATATCGTGATATTGTGATATTATGATATTGTGATTCTTCATGAATAAAAAATTCAGCATTCAGAAATAACTGTCTTTACAATGACTCCTTACCCAAGCCCAAGCCCTTTCAGAGCTACTGTATTTATTAAACAAAGGCACCCAGGAAAGAGAAAAAAAGTTCCATCTTTGCTTTGTACTGCTTTGTGTGCCTCTGGTCACATATCTTTCAAGATGGTGGCCACACAAAAGCATGCAAAGTTCCAATTAGTTGTCAGCTGACACAGTCTTGTGCATCCACAGACAAAACACATGGTTCGTCCATCCATGGTTTGTTATAAATGGAAATAATGATTACAAAGCAATAAGTAAGAATAAGATTACATCACCTGTCAGGTGTATATAATAATGTACCAGATCGTGTATCGTATCGTGGCACTACATATTGAGATATGTAGCGTATCGCGAGGAGTTACAGCCCTACCAATCAATCTGGCATCATAATATTAGAACTATCACATGCCTACCACTGCATTTCCAGGCACAAAACCCTTAAAAATTCACCTTGAGTACAAAGGACCTGTACTATTCACTCCATTAAGATCGTCAAGTGGGTTATCAGGGATACTCTCTCCACCTGTAAATAATAAATGGAATGATCGTAAAATTATTAATATCTATGCAAGGCTTCCTTGCATCTAATATGGCCACAGTAATTAATATCTAAAAGTAATTATAACAATAATAATTTATAATAACAATAATAAATTGACTAGACCAAGCAAGATTGGCAAATTTTGTATCAGGCTAGAGAAATTTTGTCATCTGCTATGCTAAGGAGAACTACAATCATGATTTTTTACATAATGTTCTAAAAGTTTGAATCTAAAGGCAGAAATCTTGAATTACAGTAAGAAGGGATTACATAGTATTTCTGTCCAAATTTCAAATAAATCAAATGTGCCAGGTGTACCGAAAAAGTGGGAGAGAATCTAAGAGTCATCCAATTACTGTCTGATCAAACGCTTCCTGTCACAGTATTTAAATACAATCCATTCCTACCAGCAAAAAGGAAGTCATATCCAGATCGACCATAAATTTCCGCTCCTCCTGACAGTGTAGCTGATCTGCAGATATTCTAAACAAGGAAATTAAGAACCATTAATCAACCTGTAACTAATCTTGGGCAGGCTTGTCATTGCGCCTTTCCATAACAAGAAAACTTTACAGAAACAATGATTGGTTTGAGAAAGTGAAACAACTTTTGGTTCAAGTCAATGGTGGTTCAAGAAATCAACATTCTACTGCAGTAATTATTAGTGTTGCATCAGTTTAAGGAGGCGTTTACATAATGCCAAAAGGTGACTTTGATACCAGTGCAAGTTCATCCGGCTTCCCTTGAGTGGCTCTGTGTTTATTTGCATGATACCACCAGAAAATCACTACAATTTCACTACAGTCAAATCAAATTGTTGAACACAGTTCAGACAGCATAGTCGGAAGCTGGGAGGAGCCGCCAAACATTTGATTGACAGTAGCGAAAAACGCATTTGTCGATTGAGCTTTGAATTTTAGAGTCCGCATGTTATTGAAAGGCGCAGTAATGCTGGGGGTAACCCTGTGATGCACTGGCGTCCCATCCAGGGGGAGTAGAAATATTCCAGTAGTCACTTCATGCTACAGAAACCAGGATAAGCTCCAGCCTGATGGGCCACTTGTTTTGTATGCAGACTTTACCTACTTAAGTTGTGGTTTGGTAAACATTACCTTTCCCTCAAAGAGAATAACTGGTACTACAAATCTTGATCTGCATCGCGCAAATCTGGCCTTCACAAATAGATCACGAAGTTTCCTTGCATCATTCACTTTTTGACTGTGGGATAGAAATGTTTACTTATTAGAATTTTATTACTTCCTCAACAATTTAGAAAAAACATACACACCTTACAAAAAATCTTATCAATTTTGCTATCCATATTCTGATTTGGGTTCTTTACACAGTACAGATTTGATCTTATGATGTGATGGACTGACAGTAGATTTTTAAATATTAATTAAACACAGCTTCTTGTGGTGGCACTTCTGTCGATCGCCACGTGGCCCCAATATAATAAATTTAAATTTGTAATCTTCAAGCTGTACCACAGTTGTAAGCGTGAAGAAATTAATTTCCGGAAACAGCCCGGAAAACGTAAAATTTTCAAACAAGTTCAACTGAAAATGCTTGTATTTTACAACGAATGACAACCGTAAATGTTGCACACGACATTTTAATGACTCCAGGAAGCGAGAAAACTCTTTACAAATTTACGCCTACGGTAAAGCTCTTGGCAACACCATCGCCATGTACACTACCTGTCGGTCTTTTCCGATTCACTAGCGTTGAGTTTTGCCTCCAAAATAACCAGTTTTAGTGGATAGTGACCACAAAGGTCGCCATTGTTGTTGGTAATGGTCTAAAAGTAAACAAAACAAGTCAATAGTTTGATCTTAAGCAATACAAACGCACAGAACGTTCAGAATTTAAGCTATAAAGTGGAAAAAATGAAGTTATATCGTCATGGGACGAGTGAAAACAAATCAACCAACCGTAAATTTATAATCCTTCGCAAACAACTGCAAACTTTTTCTCTGAATGCCCTCTACCTGACAAATTCAAATAAAAAAGGAACGAGTCATCTAATAACAACCTGTTTAACAATTTACTACTTAAACGGGCTGAGACAAAATGATTCTCGGGTCGCCCACAAGAAATCTTCACATCACCTTTGAGTTAGAATCGCGCGCCCTGAAAGGGTTCTTTGAGAAATACTGTACTAATTCAAACAGTTCGCTCCTCGACACCTCCTCATCAAAACTCATAAGTGCCCTATCGTTCTAAAAGAAACTAATTAAAGGCAAATGAAGCAAACAGTTTTCAACCCGGAACTTTTTTCTGCCGCTTTTTCCGCTACCTGATACTCGCGTGCGCTTGTTTACGTTTGGCGATAGTACGCATGGCGCTTGGGGTCAAACTGCTGGCTATGAGCGCAGGTCAAAATGGGTCAACTTTCCGCACGTGTGATTACTGTTTACAACGGTACTTAATTAAGCGCTCGCTGTTTTAAAACTAAAGTATGTGCCGACTGGATATTGAAATCCGATCATTGCTGATCAGTAGATCGCTAACGGGCTTTTCAAGGTGCTATTGCAAAAAAAGAATTTAAATCTGGCGTTTTTTACGCTAGAGCGAGTTGACTCAAGTCATGTCTTGGACGTTACCGTGCAACAAAGCAAGAAGACAACTCCAAAACCTGTTGCCAACTCCCACGCCCACTTCGTTAGCAATAGCCCATTTCACGGTTAACTAGCCTGGGTCAGCCTGCAATCAGGCTCCTCTTAGGTAAAGCCTACTCGCAGGTTAACTGTTCTCATTTGCATTACAATCAGTAATCAGGGACGAAGCGACCATATCTGCACTTTCGCACGTCCTTACCTCCGAAAATCCAGAAAATAAAAATTATTTATCTCAGCGGTCTGGAATCCTAAATCCTAGAATTTGATTGGTTAATTACGCCGGTGGTTTCCCAAGTTACGGATGTGCTCACACCCCCTTTCTCAAACTTTAGGGTTCTGGTTCACTTTAAACTATGTAGGTTATATAAACGCAAAAAAAAAAGTCTCTCCCACTATCGACGAAGTAGAAAAAGTTCTTCATGCGGGAACGCTCCGCTTACTACGAAGGCTAGGCAAAAACTGTAATGTCCCCGAAACTGACCTCATATACACATGCTTGGATGATAATGTAATGCAAAGTGAGAGAAGTAACCTTGATAAGGGCTATTAAGATCAGTTGCGGATGTCAGGCTTCTCAGGATGTATTTCAGCGAACGAACGCGAATTTCCACCGTGTCATAGACTCTGCCACCAAGTTGGCTGTCGCATGTTCTTCGTCTTAACCCTGGTAACGCTGTTCTGCTACAGCTGAGCGGCAACGGCAAAAGGCGGGTTTCTGGCGCCTTTAGAAATGACGGGATATAATGATATGATAATAATGCTTATTTATGTAGCGCTATTTCTATCACTATCCAATAGCGCTTTACAATGAGTTCCAAGGGTCTTTTCCCTGGCTTAGGGGTGGGGCGGGAAAAGGCCTTTCGCACCCCACCCCCAAGCCAGGGAAAAGACCCTGGAAACATGGTTGTAAAAATATCTCACCAATAAAATTTAACAAAAAAAAAAGTAGAAATATCTAAGACATGAGTAAAAGACACTAACTAATAAAATAACTAGGCTGTAAAATTCAGAACAAAGACTAAGAATATAGTGGATAAGGGAAGGCCACGCTGACAGAAAACCCTGGCCCTCCAGCTTGGGGCATGGGGCCAGTCCCCCCATCCCGTAAAAAATTATTGCTTACGGAAAGCGATAGTTCCTCAAACAAGCAATGTTACACGAGAAACACTACCTGCCCGATCATTACTCCAGACGTGTCGAGGATGTGTTAATAATGGGAGCTGGTGCAAATCGCGTTAAGGAAACCAGTTGACTGAAAAGGTCGTTGGCTTCTCCAAAGCCTATCGTAAAAGATAGGGACATGGATCGTCAGTACGATGTTCTGAGGCCCAATACCCCCAGGGAAAAATAATACCCCAGGGAAATGTGGCTAAAGTGAAGTGACAACTTCATCGCTGGTACAACAACAGCACTTTTTATTACAACGTAATATATAGATTTAGCCAAGCCTAAAAGCGAAGCTCCTGATTAAATAAGTAACCATAAATGAAAAGAGGATATTTTTCCCTGGATCAGAAACTCAAAAAATGATCAATTGTGAGCATTTGGACCAAACGCGGCATTTGAATGGCTTTTTTGCGTCTCTGTTGTGATTGGTTATCGCTGATGTTTTAAGCCAATCATGTTGCAACTGATGCAGTGAGCGGCAAATCAAACATGGCGGCAGACCAAACCTGTACGTGGTCTGATGAAGAAATTAATTTGTTGCTACATGTAGTTATAGACTACAAAGCAGGAAAAGCAGGGAAAGGAGTTGATTGGGAAACGGTCAGGGGCAAGTACGAAGACGCAACCAAAATGTGTTTGGAAAAGTACCCTGATAACGACAAGGAGAATTTCCCCCGACGTACCGAGGCGTCAGGAAACTTAAACAAAGATCGAATGCAAAACAAACTAAAAAGGATCAAGTTAATCCGCCTAAAATAGCAATACATGCTGCTGCCGCTCGTCTTCTCATTTCCAGAAATTCCACCGGAATTTTTGGTGAATGGAAAGCGCCCTTAGAATTCAATTTCAGACCGCGAACGCTTGTAACAAATATTTCTTGAGAAAGTAAAGTTCTGACCAGCGACCCTGCCAGACAGCGCGTCGCCAAATGTTTTTAAAGTTTGTGTTCGCATTTGTTTACATTGCTCGAATTTACATCTTGTTTTCACAAATAAAAAAGAGGAATTAACCATTCTGACCACAAAACACGTCGTTTTGTGGGCTTACACAACACGGAAAGTTTGTTTTCTGACAACCAATTATGGCCACAACGAATTTGCCGAGCTACACTGACATCGGAAAATTTATTTTCTGACCACAGATCTGAGGGTCATCATGGCCATTTTCCGAGCTACACGGCCATTTGCCGTCGCCGAGCTACAAAACATTCTTTTCTGATGACGCAGGCTTTACAGTGGAACCTCGATTTAACGAAGTCGCTGGGGACCGGCCAAATTTGTTCGTTAAATCGAGGGTTCGTTATATCGAAAACCTCGATATAACGAAT